TGACTCTATCCAGCAAAGCTATCATTTAGAATGGAAGGGCAGATACAGTGCTTCCCAGATAAGGTCAAGTTAAAGGAGTTCATCATCACCAAGCCTTTATTATATGAAATGTTAGAGGGACTTATCTAAGAAAAAGTAGATGATCAAAAGTATGATTTCCCAGATGGAAAACATTTTGATGGACTCTTAAAAAGTTAATCAGCTACCAAATAATCCAATCATTTCACTCAGGAATTTACTCAAAAAATTGAATTTTGTCTAAAACTTGTACCAAATGCAGTAACTTTGTCAAAGTCCATCATAGATGAATAAACAAACTGTGCCATATCCATATAATGGAATACTATACATTCAATACTTAAATTCCATAAAAAGGAATAAACTATTAGTATATGTTTTAATATGGATGAAATCTAAACCTCTCCACACACAGTATAAATTTAGCAATGCAAATGAATTCATTGTCACAGAAAACAGATCGTTGGTTGACTGGGGATGCAAAGAGGTGTGAGTGTTTTGGGATGATGAAACCATTCTGTACCTTGTCTTATTTCATGAATGTACACATCATAGAATTAATCACTGTATGCTTTAAATGCATATAGTTTATTGCATGTCAGTTGTGCCGCAACAATGCTGTTTTAGTTTTTTTTTTTAAGACAAAATGAAAACATTTCAGCCAATCATAAGTAAAACTTATGCCCTGGCTGGCGTAGCTCAGTGGACTGAGCCCCGGGCTGTGAACCAAAAGGTCTCAGGTTTGATTCCCAGTCAGGGCACATGCCTGGGTTACAGGTCCTCAGTAGGGGGCGCACAAGAGGCAACCACACATTGATGTTCTCTCCCTCTCTTTCTCTCTCCCTTCCGCTCTAAGAACAATAAAATCTTTTTTTTAAGTAAAATTTATCATGAGCAGACCAACAGTGTAAGATATACCAAAGGAAATTCTTCAGTCTGAAGAATTATACCAGACTGAAAATCAGATCTACACAAAGGAATAAAAAGCACCAAAGAACAATAAATATATGGGTAAGTAAAAATACTTTTCTCATCTTTAAATTTTTTTAAAAGATAATTGACTGAAGCACAAATAATGTATTGTGACATTTGCAACACTAAACCACAAAGAACTGGCAGGGAAAACAGACTGCTGTGAAGTTCTCACATGCACAGTGGGGTATTATTTCAAGGTAGACTACAACAAATTAAAAATGCATACTGTAAATCATACAGCAGTGATCAACCACATCAGCATAGCTAATAAGTCAATAATGGAAATAAATGGACTAGTAAAGATAATCAATTCAAAAAAGGCCAAAGAGAAACAACAGTTGGCACAAGAAGACTATAGCAAGATAGACGATAAACCCTATCATATCAATAACTGCATTAAATGGAAATGGCTAAACCCTCCAATTAAAGGCAGGAATAGAATAAATAAAAAGGAAGACCCAATTATACTGTTTTATGTCCATACATGAAATAGAGATACATTGAAAGAAGTGAAAATATATGCAAAACTAGTAAGAAAGCAGGAACGGGTAGAATACCAGTCAAAGTAGACGTCAGTTCAAGGAATATGGGGACAAAGAGGAGCATTACATAATGATAAAAGGGTGAATTATTAAGATATAATAATCCTAAAATAGCCCTGGCCAGGTAGCTCAGTTGGTCAGTGTGTGGTCCTGATACGCCAAAGTTGTGGGTTTGATCCCCAGTCAGGGCACATACGAGAATCAACCCATGAATGCATAAATAAGTGGAACAACAAATCAGTGTTTCTCTGTCTCCTTTCTTCTCTCTAAAATCAATAAAAAGGATTTTATTTTAAAAATAATAATCCTAAAATATGCACAGCTCAAAATGAAGAAAAAATTTATTAAACAAAAAGGTAAAATAGAGAAATCTACAATTTAGTTGATTTCAACACTCTTCTCACTCTTCTCTCAGTAATTGATAGTAGTCAGCAAAGATGTAGCAGACTAGAACAACAGTATTAACCTAACCTGACTTTATAGAAAACTGCATCCAACCGCTGTAGAGTATTTACTACTCAAATGCCCATAAAACATTCACTACTAGACCATAGTCGGGCACATAAAACAAGCCTCAATAAATTTTAAAGTTAAAATTATAGAGTATCTATGACCATTATGAAATTAAGTCTAACAAAATTATATCTAAAAATTCACATATATTTAGAAGATAAACACATTTTTTATGTAGTACATGGTCCAAAAAAGGAATCACAAGTAAAACTGGAAAATGTTTTGAACTGAAGGATAAACATGCTTAGAGGAAAATGTAATAGCTTTAAATGCTTATAGTAGGAAAGAAAAGTCTAAGATCAATACAGTTCCATCTTAAGCAGCTAAACAAATTTGACCTACATGAGTAAAGGAAATAATGAGTAGAAAACAATGAAATAGAAAACAGACATATAATAGAAAAAAATTAATTAGAATAAGACCTCATTTTTGAAAGATAATATTGATACACCTTTAGTTTGACCAAGACACAAATTACCAAATGTCAGAAATGAAGACATTAAAAGCACAAGACACTTTTTTATGAGACATACTTTTTGCCAATAAATTGAAAATATAGATGAAATGGACAAATTTATGAAACACATAAATGATGAAAATTGACATAATACAAAGTATAAATTGCCCTATATCAAAATTGAGTTTACTTAAAAACCTTCCCATAATATACATCTGCACCTAAGAAACACAAACATTATATAGAACTCGAGGGCCCTAACACTTTCCCTCCTTCCCATGGAATCCCCAAGAAAAAGGACTCTACTTACCAGACAAAACACAAGTCTTCAAGGCCATGACATTGGGTAATGGCAGTGGGGGAGATTTGGGTAGGATGATCAGAAGTAAAAAAACACTCTCAAAATAATCATTTTTGTCTGCCATAAAGCTTGTGCTGTATCATGAGCCTGCCTGGGGCTGACTCTCTTTTGAGAAGTATAAATTCCTTTAAAGTGCAGAGCAAGACCAGAGAAGGGGCAAAGGGGGAAGGAGGCTTGGAATAGGCATCTGGACAGAACAGGATACTAGATAGCTGTTTCATCTCCGGGAGACTTGTAATACTACTCATTGTCTAGAATGTTCTATATACAAGTAGCTTTCTGGAACAGGTAATAGAACTGGCTAACGAGTCAAGGTTCAGAAAACTCTAACAGAGCCTAACACCAACAAATAGTGAATGAGGTCAGACACGCCTTGACACTTAATGAAAATGAACCAGAGATTAGAATCTAAGCCTCAGTGTCCTTCCCCCTCCACCCACTGCCACTGTCTCCGATAGAAATTTTGCACTGTACTTTTTAATGCTCAAGTTTGGCATTTCCCATCAAGGCTGCTTATTAATCAGCTGTCTATTTTGAGGAGGGAAACAGCAAATACTTAGCACTGTAGCTGGTGCACAGTAAATGCAAGCCCAATGTTAGCAAAACTATCCTTTATTTTTAGCCCTTCTATTGGAAATTGGCTTTATATGGTGATAAAACCTGAATTTGCTAATGCAAATCTCAAGAAGAAAATTTTCTTCTAGACATTAACAAGAAATAACATACAAATGACTTAAGCTTTACACAACACAGGAGCCCTCATAAGAAAATAAAGACAAAGAAATGGTTAAATCTGAGTGTTTCTATGCCAGGTTTGAGGAGAGTTTAAAGTTTAGTAAAGATATGATGGGACAAACATTGGGCTAGCCAGAAGGTTCATTCGTTTCTCTCCTAAGATGGCTCTAGTAGTGCTTGCCTTCATTCAAAACAATTTTTGTTAGATTATCGTATCTGTGTGCATTAAAAAAAAATCAAAACTGATGAATTTTTGTATAGCTATTTTAACACTGAAGATGGATGACAATAAGCAACATTTCTGGTATATTATGCTTTACTTCAAGAAAGGTAAAAATGCAACTGAAACTCAAAAGATTTGTGCCGTGTATGGAGGAGTCATAGCAATGACTGATCAAATGTGTCAAAAGTGGTTTGGGAAGTTCCGTGCTGGAGATTTCGCACTGGACTGGGCGATGCTCCACGGTTAGGTAGACCAGCTGAAGTTAACAGTGATCAAATTGAGACATTAACTGAGAAATAACATTATACCACGCAGGATATATCCAAAATATCCAAGTCAATAAAGTTATTGGCGAAAATGAAAAATGTGTCTTTTACTTCACAGAAAAAACTAAACAGACTTTCAGCTAACTTAATAATATGAGATAAGTGTAGGAAACTGGGGACGACTCAGCAAGGCCTGTTGGTCCAGTTTCCTGCGTCCCTCTTGCTCCTGTCCTCTGGGTTCAGGGAGGACACCTCTCACAAGGGGGTTTAGGGCCTACTTCAGGGGAAGGTCAGTGAGCTTCCTGCACATGTTATTTCTCAAATTCCTTCAGCCTAAGATATTTAATATGCTGAGGTGCCATATTTTGGGGTAGTGTGCCCTGATCCCCATCAGCAAGTTTAACTCTGTATTTAAACCAACTCATCCTTTGATTTAAATTTATTTAGAAATCACTACATTTAAATGCAACTATATACAAGGCAAAGAATTGAAATTAAAAAGACTGTATAAACTTAGATGAAAACCTACCTAGGGGTAAGAACCCAAAACAACTTGCACTGTTTTCTGCATTCTTGTACCTGCCCTTAAACCAAGCAAACCACTGTGTGCGTTGTCAGGCGGGCACTAGACTTTTGTTGGGGGGCAGGGTTACATAAATGTCTAAGCCAAGGCAAGCGTACTGATTCAAAGGCATCTGCTAAGGAAAGACCTTTATATTAAAACTTGGTTTCCATTAGCCACCTGATGTTTGAGCTCAATTACTGCCTAATAAAAAGCCTTTCTTCCAAGGTTGTGTTTTACTTGAAATAAAAATAAAGGTGGGTTTTGTTGTGTCTGAAACACAGCAGTCATATATCATGGCACAGCACAAGCAGCTGGTTTTAATTTCTCGCTGAAAAGAAATGACACTTTTATTTTCCACTGTTTTATTATAAAAATCAACATTTCATTTGTTACAGCTCAGCTTATTGTAATAATCAAAAGGGGGATTTATACAAGGTATTTTTATACAGTTTACAATTAAAGCACTTATTTTACAAAAAGGGGGAAGTGAATAGTGGACAAGGGCTGACCAAATGTTGGCCATTAAAATATAAATACATCCTTGCAAAGCACCATCGTACCAAAGTCCGTGAACAAGAAACACCAGCTGACTTTAAGACAAAACGAAGATTAAAGCTTAAGAAAAAATTTAAAAACACAAAGGATAAACATCTGAAAGCAGCACCAGGTCCTTCACTTGCAAATCAGGCTAGTCCAGCTTAAGTTTCTCAGTATCCTCTTTACTCTTGTAAAATTTTTCCTTGCTAACCCCAGATACTTTTTCACATAACGTTAGATTCCATCAGACTCTGTCTTTTTACTATCCATGTTAAAAGAATATTCATATATATATTCACATACATATATATGCATCTCTACCCTGATTTAAAAAAGAATGGACAGTTAAGCAAAAGCAGTTGTCTATAATTCTTTCGTGTTAACTTTTAGTCAAACCCTAAGTAATGATGGGGGGGGGGGGCATTTTTGTTAGGTCTATAGTCCAGTTCTGAGTACAAGAAATTGCTTAGTTTATAATTCTTATCTGTCAAATCCTGAATATTTTTTGAATACACACAGTCAAGCCAGAAATATCCTGAGTATATAGATTCACAATATTCATAATTAAGAACTTTAAAAATTACAAATGTAAAATGATATATTTTAGGTCCAATGTCTTCTAAAAACTTTGAGAATTTCAAGAGCTAAATTTTGAGACCATTATGAAATGAGGCCATCCCAGAAGTCAGAAACCACACAGGCTACCAGCACTTTCTAAAATCATCTGTTATTTCTCTTGGCTCATTTTAGACTTGGGATAAGGAAAGGAATACCAAATAAAATTAAATTTCTTGAGCTTAAAAATTCTGAGAACGTTTTAAACATACGATTACTTCTTTATGACTCAGTTCATGTCTACACCTACTGCAGTCCCATTTGCAAATGTCCAAATACTTGTCAGACAACTGATACTCACACTCATACCCACACTCCAGACATACCGTAACTTAATAAAGCGTGGCATATTTGGGATTTGAAAAGCCCAAAATTTTTTGTTGTTGTTACATGTAAAATGGTATATAGTGTGCAGCTCTTATGGCTTGCAAATTAATGGAGTGGCATGTTTTCTCCTCCAAGATATAAAATAATTTTAAAACTACACTTACAAGCATCTAATCTAGGCACAGGACTAGACAGGGAAACAGCAGCAGCACTTTTATTGCAGAGAAGCACGCCTGTGCAAAGAAAGCCTCTCTGGTACCGGAAGTACATAATGCCTACCATGATTATTGCTATCAGGTCATATAAATACACACAGTTCATCAATAGGCTAGGTAAGCCAGAGCTACCAACTGTACTTAAGTCTTCTTTATTAATGTACCTTTAGAACAAAACAAAGATTTTCCCCAGAACTAACTGCTACCTAATACCAATGGAGGCTATTTTAATATCCTAATATTGAATGAGTTGGCTTTACACAAATTATTGACTTCAGAGTTGTTTTTAAATGAATGCAGTCCCCAAACATACTAAAATTTTACTGCTCAAACCACCCCCCTTCCAATGTATCTACCTATATTAGGTTTCCAAATACACGTCAGCCTTTTAGAACAGTTGTTCTCAAATGTATTAAAGGTTCAGAGCAAAACCAGTGAGCTGCTGTTTAGAAGACCAGGGCTCTGCAGGAGCCAAGTTCAAGTTAGAAAATTTCAGGGTCATAAAACACCACTTTCAATGTGGAATAGCTTACTATAGTGTACAGAACGTATCCTTTGCTAAAGCTAATTTCTCAGATAATTCTAATCACACCAGTAAGTGGGAATACTTTAAAACATTCAAAATAAATACATTTTTAAGAAAGCTAATGACATTTTATTCATCCCCGCGCCTCAATGGATAATGAATCAAGACACAGTAGTTTACTTAAGCTTAACTGTCCATGTAACCTAAGGGCCAATAAATCTTCCCTGAATTCCCACAATTCTCTCATTTTGAAGGTATGCCCCAAATTATTAAAAATCCATCTCAACTACTCCAGAAAGAGGATTCTGAAATTAAACTGAACCACCTTCAAATAATTTCAAATTGGCACACAAATTAGCATTTTGCAAGAAGAGGCCATTGCCATCGCAGTACAAGCACTTGGACTGAGATACAACAAGGCAGTGTTCTTCTTAGTTCGTCATAGTGCAAGTTCCCGCATGGGAAGCCCCCCAGATAAAGATGCACACTAAAAAATGTAAACATATAGAATTGTCAAATTCTAACCAATACCCAGTTATTGCTAACCTTCCCATCTTCATTTAAGCACAAAGTGCCCCTGTGTGTCACAGAGTACAACTGCAGTGTCCATTCCGTCAGGCGGGGAGCACTTGGTTCCGTCAAGAGGAAGTCAATGCTAGTCTGACTGAAATGCAAGAAACTGGTGGATTACCATTTATTTATATGCGAAATCAAGTGCCCCCAATTCTTACTAGGTGTCCTCGACAATCTAAGCATTATTCTGAAGCCAGTTTTGTTCCTCTCCAAAAAGTTTACTTAGGTATTTTTTAATTGCTTAAAGAAGTAGTTCATCCTTGCTGATATTCTGAATCCTTTCTTCCACTGTTTTCTCTTGGGCCCCAAAATCCAGAGGCCCCAGCAAGACAGATTTTTAAAAAAAAAAAAAACCATTCAATAACTAGCTGACCAACATCTGTTAAGGTAAAAAGTACACGAGTTTAAAAACACATTCAATTGTAGCAGAGAAATGTTGAAAACATGTGAAAAGCAGGAAACTAACTTCTGGCAAGGTGGAAGAGCAGCGCTAGAGTCATCCCACAGGTCAGCCCCGACAGCTGAAGACACAGCGGCCCAGTCCCGCACAGGTCGGGCAGGTGACACGACAGCCTTCCACTACCCCCTCCCCCCCGAGCTCTGACCGCTGAGAAGTTAATAGTTTGCCTTCTCATGTGATCTGTGTTGTTAAATTTGTTAAATCTTAATCCATATTGGGATAAGAGAGGACACACAAATATATACAAGGTGGTTATAAGGATAATTTGCGGATAATCTGAAAAAGTCTAACATTCACATTAGGTAACAGAAAGATCCTAAACTCATGTCACGCATTAGAAGAGGTATGTATGTAGACATCATTCTGAGAAAAATTGGCCTAAAGAACATGAAAATGTCACAAACAGTTAATAAAGGGAAAACCTAATGATAACAAAATTCTCCTTTTACACAGATTGTCTCTTACTGGAACACATTAAAATATTTTAGTAGGAAAATATATATAAAAATGATTTCATATTGTGATATATGCTGAAAGTACTGCAAGGATATATGATTAATTTACAACAAAAAATAATAGCTAAATTTGTAATTCTTAAACATTGTCTATATGTGTCGTAAGAAGACAGTTTAATGAGCATTAAACAATCTTAGAAGTAAAGAGGAGCAATAATATGTCTTACCTTTGATCATTACGTGAAAACATCAGTCTAATAGAAGAGCTAAGCCTTCAGGGGAATGGAGCTAGTATAAATATTAAAATGAAACCTTAATTTAGAAAAATCCATTTAATTAACCTTCAGATAAAAAGTTTTGAATAAATCATATCTTGGCAAACGGGCCTATAAAGCTGCTGGGGGAGCAAGGACGGTAAAAACATTGTGAGAACCAAACTCTGAAGGAGGCGTGGACTCGGACGCAGGGACAGAGACGTGCGCACACAGACGGCCCCACGGCACCCTACCAGGCAGCTGACCTTCCCTGCCACAGCGGTACCCAGAACGGATTTTTATGAATATCTATTTTCCTCACTAAAATTGTTGGACGCCTAGAGAAAACAAAGCCCTAGGTCCAAAGTTAGTATTCATTACTTTATTTCTTTTTCAGGATTTCTTAAACCTGTTGGCCCTCAAATGTTATGTAACATGAAGGCTATTTGGCTACTTCCAAGTATCTATGGTTTGCTGCTCTGAGATGGATTTAAATTTTTCTTCTTCTTTTTTTTTTGGTATCAATAAAGCCCAGACACTCCTGGTCACTGATGCCTTTATTATGCCTGTTTCCTCTGTACTCAGTCACTTCACTGGGTTTAAGGCATGCTTTGTGTATTTATTTTGCAAAAATAAAACTTTTAGTACAAATTTATTTTTATACAAATTTTTATGGCACAAGCAGCAAATTTGCTGTTTTAAGAAAATATATAAATATCCTTTTCTTCTGTACAAATATCTCCAGTATTCCCTATTCCATTTATAATTTTTAACTGTACATGGCCTGCCTCATCCTTCTCTAGTATCTCCCTCCCCCCCTCCAGATCTCAGCCAAATCTGTATGTACATTTTTGTGTTGGAGGCAGTCAGAGGAGGAGGGCCCCTCCTCAGGAGGAGTCTGTGCAGGGAGATGGTGGCGGAGGGTAGAGGTGATGTGAGTAGCTCCTCTCTGTGTACGGAGAAGGCGGGCAGCTTTCATAGTTCTCTTCTGCTGACAAGTATTGGCTTCGGGGTGTGGGAGGTGGGGGCACAGGCTCTGAGTCATAGTTCAAGTCACTAGTGTAGCCCTTGACTGTTGCCACCGAGGTCATTCTCCGGCTGGGGGCATAGTCACTGTCACAAACATCGGTGCTGCAGGGCGTGGTGGGGGGTGCAAAGTGCCGGTAACTATATGGCCTGTAGCTGGTATTGGAAGAAAATCAAGAGAAGAGTTAGTTTTACTGAAAAGTGGTTTTGCTATCAAAATACAGAGGTATTGGATATAAAGTTCATCTTGAAGATAATAACTACTGCAATTTAAATCCGCACAGACCAAGAGGCAATTTTCAATGGCAGTCTGGAGGTGGAAGATAGCACGCATTTCACATTTGCAGATAAAATGTGATTAGAGGCAATTAAACATGGATAGAATGGAAATGAGAAGGTGACTTTGGATGTGCTCTTATAGCTTTAAGTTAAACTGTATCACGAAATAAAAAAGAACTATTCAGTTGTACTTAATGGTCACGTCTGGAAAACCTGTCAGTTACACAGTCAGCGTTTAGTCTACATACAGCGAACCTCACTCATTTCTGCCACTTCATGGTCTGAGAGAAGAAGGATCTTCACACGCTTTACACTATTCAAACAGTTAACGCTCCCTCCACGTTCTTGAACTGCTCTATCATTTACCTGATGAATGATCTAATGATGTCTGACAACTTCATTCTCTCTTTAAAAATCAAGTACTGTACAAGCCAGACTAAACATTGTAGACAGCCTAAGGGGCTCATCATCCCATTTGTGTTTGATCAGCAGAGGGAAACTGCTGTGGTTTCAGAGAGTTTCGACTCTCCATGTAGAGATGAGCGTGTTGTCATAGGAGCAGCTTTAACTGAACATTAAAATAATAAATTCTAAATATCCATACAGAACCAGTGAATTTTCTAATATGTATTTGACCTGACTTATTTTTTACACTTGTTTATTTACCTTTTCAAGTAATTGATAGCTGTTAAAAGTTTGTAGCATGGCTAACTAAAGAAAAAGGTACTGGAAAGAGAGGATCACATTAGAGAAAGTAAGAGCTCATTTAACACCCAGGTTTTTCTTTTTAAAAAATATTTTATTTATTTTTTAGAGAGAGGGGAAGGAAGGGAGAAAAAGAGGAAGAGAGCTATCGATCAGTTACCTTTTGCACACCCCTAACTGGGGACCTGGCCTGCAACCCAGGCCCGTGCCCTGACCAGTAATCGAACCGGTGACCTTTGAGTTCATAGGCCAGTGCTCAACCAACTGAGCCACACCAGCCAGGGCAACGTGCAGGTTTTTCTATCATTTCTACTTCCACCTGCAACTTCTTATACATTTATATTTTAAATATGGTGAAGTTAATCTTACATGCTTTCTCATCAAAGAAACTGCAAGAGAGGGGCAAGAACAAGTATAAAACTGAAGTTACAATCCATAAAACACCTAGTGACAGAGAGAGCTACGGATAATATCCCCGGATGCAGACCATTCAATACCATTAGGACTTGCCTCAACAGAAATGGTGGCCAAAAAACCAAAAGCTACAGAACCTGCCGAGCAGGTTTATTACAGTGTGTGTTTTGTTTGTTTGTTTCTTTGCTTTTCACTACCAATATCGACATGTGTCATAGTATCTTTTAGGTCTTATCATTCTGTCCAATCAGGTGTCAAGCCCTGGTAAACTTCCTTGGCTTAACATTTAAAAGTCCCAACATTTCCGTTTTCACAGAAAAAATAGGGAGGAAAGGAAGAAAGAAGAATCAACAAATTCTTTTAAGTTCTATTTTAAACGAAAATCTCAACAAATGATAAACAGTTTCATTGAGAAGAAACAAAATGGGCTTAATTTGAGATGTGGGAAATGACTAAGAATTGTTTTTGACGTTATGATCACTTTAATTAAACATTTTATTCAATTTACAGAAATTTAAAGATTTAAAATAAAATTTTAGGTCTTTTCTTTTTCTGTTTCTTTTTTCAATTTTCAGGTTTTCACCCCTTTATTTTGGCATTTTAAAGCAGACTTGTGGCAGGGAAAGCAACACTTACAATAAAATATAAAAATCAATTCAGAGTCTAGCCCATCTCAAAAAAATCTCATTTAAACACTAAAATGAGAATTCTGAATGAGGTAGTATAAACAAGTTTCTACTTGATTTCTATATATCTATATAGTTACAGATATGGGCTATTTGATTGGAATGCTAGGAAACCTTATCTTGAAGACAACAGGCACTTGAGGAATGCTAATAAATACTGGCACTAAGTGTGTAGACAGAGAGTATCAAGCTCTTGACTATTTGCTGGCCTTTCAAATAAGAGGAAAGAGTAAGGGCAACACGAGTGCTTATGTTTATTAACTTGCTCACTCTGCTCTATAGATTTATAAATCAGCACAAAGGCATACCCCCTCCCCTTTGGCTTACAAATACATTTCATTCATTTTAGTGAGTTGTAATCTATTCCATGCAATTATAATGTATGTAAACAAGGGCTGAATTTAAGCTTCCCTCAAGTTCTGTGCTCTTAAAAATCCCACTGTTTTAGAGTTCTCACAACTCTGAACACACAAGTCTTATCCCAGTACTTCATCCTTAGACTATCAATCACACCTAACCTGAGCAAATTAGTTATTTTGAAATCAATCAGTTTGATGGATAACATTCTCTTAAAAAACACTGCCAAAGCACTGAAGGCTATACTCTTATTGTCCTAAAAGCCAGCATTTGTGACTCTCTTTTAAAAAATGTACAATGCCCTGAAAGAAAAGAATTTGTGGTAGGAGCAACACCAGTATTAGCAAGACACGATGCCCATTCTCTCTCAGTGACCATCATCTATCTACGCACTTGGGTCTACATCAAGCCCACAACTAGAAGAATACTTCATCCTTCTAATAAAGACTTCAATTTATATTAGAGGAGGATGTGTAATACCTGTAGGACCTGTGAGTGGAAGGACTGTTTGAAGAATAACCAAATTCCATGGTGTAATGCGATCGCTCTGTGGCTGGGGATGGCGGAGGGTTCAAAATCTAAAAGGAAAATAATGAAATTATTAAAATAACAATGGTCTACCCCACAAAGAGACTATTAGACTTTCTTTCAACTTCTCTTCTTTCCTTTCTGTTCTATTCCTTCCCATTAGACTATTAGTACACTCCTTCCTTTCCAAAGAACTGACTTTAGGATTGTGGCTCTCCACTCCATACAATACAATGTCATCACGGCTAAACAGTGCAAGGTGATGAGAGGAAATCTATAATCTACAAGTCACTGGTTTAAATTCAGTATAGCTGAGTTTTGACTTTTTAAATATAATTGTTTAAAGAAAAATTACTGACATAGGAGAAGTGCCATGTGCTTCCTCTTTTGGGAGGTCATGGCATGAAAGTCCTGAACGTCTCAGGAGGTACTATTCAGTAGTGCCACTTTTACTAAATAGAAATTAATGTCCAGTGCTTCCATATATGCTGATTAGTATACAATAAACATAAAGAAAGATTTGTAAGTGCTCACAAGGTGATGGTAAAGCCTTCTTTGAACCTTATATGCCTAAATTCTACACTAAGTTTAAAAACTTTTTACATCACCATCACTGAGTACCCACACTGAAGTGAGGTAAAAATCTAAGATCCTGTGTATCTTAGCATTCAGAGCGAAACAAAGGAAAACAGACTGCTTACTGCAGGGAAGTAAGTGCCTTTGGTGCTTGAAGAACTACTTGATGAGGCTCCTGTGACATGAGCTCGGTCGTAAGGGGGTCCGCTGCTGCCCCCCATGATACTGAGGGAGCTGATCATTGATTTACCTCGAGACATTCCTACAATGAAGACAAATACTAAAGATGAGAAAGACCAATAAAGATACATGACATAATTTTATTCAATATTAGGATTATAAATGCCAACAAAAGAGTTTGACTTTGAAACAATTTATGCCCCCTTTTTCTAATAATTATTGAAAGCACTTATTGGAGAAGGGAAATGAATATTCCCTAGCAGTGAACACTTCCATTGAGAGCTGGCCTAGAGCAAGGCCAAGAACGGCTACTGCCCCCTCTGCCTGTCCCAGGATGGAAGCAGAGCTCTTCAAAATGAGATAAAATGAGTGGTTTTCAGTTTCTTAGAGGATTTGAGGAAGAAAGGGCTGTGGAGAGTGGGAGTTGCGGAGCAGGGTAGACTAAACAATAGATTTGGTCAGAAAGAAACTAAAACCATTTTTAAGGGCATAAATACAATGTATGGAAGATTATTTCTTCAGCTACTGGAAGTAAATGTTCTAATCACAACCACCAGTGCTCAAGAAAAATTTATATTCTTTTCCAAGTGACTTCCTAAATTGTACTAACTGCCAACAGATATGGTGACACAGAATAGTATCATTAACATTTAAAAAATCGTGTCTGTTTATTTAGTTACACCCAGAATAAGTCCTCATTTTCAGAGGGCTTTGCCTGAAACCTCCTTCTCCCTATTCTCCAAAACAAAGAGGCTTCTTTACACTGAGGGTGTGAGAAAACATTGACAAAAAATCTGTACCCTCTAGAGCAGGGGTGTCAAACTCATTTTCACCGGAGGCCATATCAGCCCCACAGTTGCCTTCGAAGGACTGAAATAATTTTAGGACTGTATAAATGTAACTACTCCTTAACTGTTAAGGAGTTGCAATTACATTAGGCCCTTTGAAGGCAATGATGAAGCTGATGTGGCTCCCCCTGGCTCCCCGCCCGCCCCGTGAAACCTAGTTTGACACCCCTGCTCCAGAGCAATGTGGTTTACCCAAGCACAGAACTTCTGGCTACTTGGCTAGGCCTGGATAACCCTAGTCCCACTGTCATCACCTAAAGGTAAGAGAAGACATAAGACATTACATCCCTCCCTGCAGTCACCCAGCAATTTCCAGATCTTTGCTGAAAAGAAATCTTAGTCTATTTTTTGGCCCCCCTTTAATTTGTGGGCTCAGTAGTACTGAGGTCACCGATAGAGAACCTAAAGAACTGTGGTTTATGACTTTTCACCAAGTGACTAGCTGATTCATGTTTAGCAGACTGCATCCAAAAACGCAGTACATATAAATGGCTGCGTATGTTATTTGCTTTATATCCTTTGGCAGTTTCTACCAACCCCTACCTCAGATCTTTTGTGTACAGAGAAGGTGCTAAATGTAAAAGAGAACATTTGTTCTTAAAACCTTTAAAACCCAATGTGGTCTAGTTTGAAATGGACTCTGGGCAGTAAGTATCCTGGTTTCAATTATGGAAAATTGAGAATTCTGCCAGGACCCAAGACTTGATTTTCAGTGGATCAGTTTTAACTCACCTGGAAGAGATCCTGACAAAGAACTTGGGTGTGGCACATAACCAAGGGGCACAGAGGCTGGTCCATGAACTACATAGTCATTAGTCATGGTTTCTCCATCTCCCTTCATGCGTGGACACAACATCCTCTGGCAGATAAAGTATATGGTTCCAGACACAAAAATAGTGACAATTACTCCAATAACTGAACCAACTGTGTTGGTGGGTGGTGGTGCTGGCTCCTCAGTTGGATCTAAAATGAGAATGCAGTGCGGTTATATAATGAAAAACAACTACAGATTCAAAGTAGTAATCAAAAAGAGGGCTTGCGAGCAGACTGTGAAGCTAATGGAGACAACTTAGAAACATTTTTCTTTCATATGGATAGGAGGGGGGATCCAAAAAAACTGAAATTGTCTTCTGGAGGGGGGTTGCTTGTAATACACAGGCTTCCCCCACTAGGTGAGTGTTCCAGAAACCCATCTGTATCAGCATACCAGCTGGTGTTGTTCTGAGAGGCTACACTCAACTGCAGTGAATTTTTTTGAAGTCTCTTTCAATGCATTTGACCATTTCATGATGGGTGATTTATGAGTGCACCTGCCCATACAGCGCTGAGTGTTTAGCAGTTTTTGACCAAAAACAGCAGGACCCCTGTGCCACACCATCCCTATTCACCCAATCTCGTCTTAAACAACATTTTTTTTGGTTCCCCAGATGAAAAAAAGTCCTTAAAAAGAAATGTTTTCCCAGTGTGGAAGAGGTGAAACAAAAAACGGCAGAAACACTAAGGTATCAAAACCAACAAGTTCTTTTGAGCAGTGAAAAAAACATCTTGATAGGTGTGCTGCATCAAAAAGAGTGCTTTGAAGGTGACTGAAGTTTAAACATATAAGAATACACAATTTTTAATAAATTCATTCCAGATTTTTGGGGTACTCCTCATACATGTACACCGCGCCCCATGGATTATGGATAAATGTTATCATTAGGAATCAAATGAAGTATCCTTAAGTGGAGACAGAAATAAAACAACATGTTGGGGAAGCATAAATGATAAAAATAAAGATGTTAAGTGAACTGTAGAGTTTTAAATACATATATACATTAAGACTTTTTAATACCTATACATACAAAATCTATCCAACTTTATCCTGTATATCATTTAAAGTCAACAAACTTAGTTTGGAATCTCAGAGTCAATTATAGGACCCAAACACATGAACCTGGAAAAGTCATTAAATGTTTTACCTGGAATGGTGAAGCCAAAAGCAACTCTGAACTAGATTTTAGGTTTGAAAAGTGACATTTAGGTCTGGTGAAAGGAAATTAGAAGCTGAAGATGAACATTAGCTCTCAGGCTCAACATGCTGCTGCCTTCAGGGTGAGTCTAGCTGCCTGAACAACGCAAGGAACAGGTCTCTGACACTTGAGTAGTCGAGGACTCAGAAAGAAAGCCAGAGCATGAGAGCACTAAGGAAGACCCTGACCAAGGCACCCACCTTCACAGAATTGAGAATTTAGAAGCACAGGGCATCAATATTAGGGGTAGAGAGAAAGAACAAAAGGGTGCATCAAATTCAGAACGTTACTATTTGACTTAGAAGGAAAATTCTTCCATTCTGAACATAGACTACAGGTCACAATTGCAGACCCTTTAAAAACCTTCCTTCTGTTTCATTGTACCTGAAATATCCCATCCCCATAGCTAAACTCACCCTGTGATAGACTGAATAAAAGAAATGAGAGAAAACAGTATCACAAAAGTTATACAATTACATAAGGGCTGCCAATTACATATTTCCTCTATGGCGTCTGAGGCACAGACTCTGCTTAGTCCTGGGAGCGACCATCTCAACTTTTTTAGTGCCCTGAGCATTCCAGTCTAATGCCAAGATTCAAGAAAGAAAAGTTTATGCTGACAACCCGAATTCTTAGTCTCTAGGTCACATCTTGACTTATTGAAATCAGGTTTTTATCCTCACCACGACACTGAAATCAGTCTGGCAAAGTCAACATTCTCCTATTTGCCATATTCAATGAACCTTTCACCTCACTGGCCTTTTTATACGTTCTCTACTTTCAATACTGCTGGCTCTTGTTTTCCTTAAAAATGTCTGATCAATATCCTTCCAAGACACCACTTTCTTAGCTTCACTATCTCTAATTGTTGTTTCCTTTTGTTGGCTTCATTCTCTTCTGTCTGACTTCTAAGTACTGTTGCTTCCTAGAGTTCTGTCTATCCCCTATTTTCCTCCCCTGCTTAACTTTCACTGGGAGATTTCATCCACTGCCTCCAATTTAATTACCATTAACAAACTGAAGGGCCCATGAGCTACAGACCCATATGGTCAACTTCCTGAACAGCTTCAATGAGACATCTAATGGGCAACTTTAATGCAACATATGCAAACTGAACTCAATGTCACCATCATCTTCCGTGTTTCCTAAATTCCAGGAGTAAAGCAGGTCATAAATAAATGAGGTGCCTGTAGCAAAGGTATTTGCATTAAAAACAAAAAAAAGTAATAAAAACCAATATATCAGCCAAACATTACATCTGCAGCCAAGATATGGAATGGTACTTCCGTTTTCAGTCCCTGCTACATATTCTAGTTAATGAAACAACTCCAGTCACTCAGTGAGGTATCTGTGTGTCAACCTAAGCTTATCAACTAAATCTAAATGGTTACCAAACCCTTTTATTTCCAAAATAACTCAAATCAATCTATCTACCACACTGCTCCTTCTCAACTTAGATTGTCATCGTCTGCCTGATCTACAACAGTCTCTCAAGTATTTTTAAATTATACTTAAAATTATACTTAACTGCAAGTTATTAGACAGTGAAAACAATTTAGTGGGTTGCAATTAACATTTTAAAACAGAAAATGTCAGAATGCATTCACATAGTATGGATAAACACTGTTGTATGACATTATTTATGTGTGTACCTATGTCACTGTAACCTCTTGATTTGGTCAAAAGATTTGAAAGCCAACAGTCTAACAGTTTTCCCTGCCTATAATCTTATCGCCTCCAACGCATCTGCTTCACAGCTTTCACAACTACGCAGCAATGACAACTCTTTACTTATTAAGTTGCTCAATGACTCTCCATTACTCTGGAATACTGTCCAGGCTCTTCAGAAGAAAAGCAAAGTCCTCTATGATCTCACCTTTACATACGTTTTCTCCTGCTGACACCCTCATGATGTAGCATGTACTCTGGCAGTCCTATTTACATGCCGTTTCCCAAAGGTGCCTGTTTCACTTTGCTTTTGAATAGGATATTTCCTCTGCCAGGAATTCAATCTCTCTAATTATCTGCATAATTAACACTATTCATTGATCAACATCCTATATCTTCAGCATCACTGTTCTAAAAAGTCTTCCTTGATGAGCTGCATCTTCATTCCTAAAGCTTTGACCACTCTCTCCTGTGTGCTACTTGCGAAGATCTCTAAAATAGCACATTAGATATCACTTATCACTCTTTTATCAATAGTATCTCCTGATACTCCTGATACCGTAAAACACACAGAGACAGGCTGTATGTTTTATATATATATTACATCATTTAATTTTTCCCACAGCCATCAGGATAAATATTATCTTCAATCCAAAGATGAAGAAACTAAGGTTTAAATTTCCTGGTAAGAACAAAGTTTCTGGTAAGAGGGGGAGCTAGAATTCAATTCCATCTCTGACTGGCTTTAAAAGCCCTAATCTTACTACTACCCCCAAAATAGACAGCTTTAAGAGCACTGGTACAGGTACCCTGCATGCTCAGCACATAAGTAGGTGTCCAGTAATGTTTCATGAATATGAATAGATACTACAAGTCTCAGTGAGTATGCCATTTGAATTTTTTAAAATATCAGCTTAAAGTCTTTATTAAGATTAAAGAGTTTCTTTTTTTCTTTGTTTTTTATTGTATTTTTCCCATTACCATTTAGTTCCCTTATACCCCCGCCCCTGCAATCATGTCCATGAGTCCTTTTTCCTTTTTGCTCAATCCTTCCACCCCCAACTTCCCCCACTGTAGCTGTCATCCTGCTCTCGATAATTCATTAAACCAGTTTTGACAGGGTAGATGAGGCTTATGCTGATTTCCATTCAGAACTAGGTTGATCAATTTGGGATATATTATAGATTAGAGCATTGGTCAATTGTTAAGAATCTTGAAGAAACTATAAGCTATTCATCCTAGGGTCTCTAGGCCTGTGCATATACATTGGTACAAATTTCCTCAGGCTACATTTTAAGGAAGCTCTTAGAGTCACTGCGAGACTAGAGTCAAGAAAAAAATGGGGGATGTTGAACATGGACTAATGTTCAGAAATTCTTAAGTTTTGACCACTGACTGAGTTCCACATATCTGTAAACATACCTCGTTTTGGTACGTTTCACTTCATTGTGCTTCACAAATTTTGTATTTTTTACAAATTGAAGGTTTGTAGCAACTCTGCATCAGGCAAGTCTATTGGTGCCATTTTCCCAACAGGCTTAGATGATGGTTAGCATTTTTTTTAGCAATAGATTATTCTTTACACATTGCTTTTTAAAACATAATGCTATTGCACACTCAACAGACTACATTACAGTGTAAACATAACTTTTATATGCACTGTGAAACCAAAAAATTAGTTTGACTGGTCTGATTGCAGTATTTGCTTTAATGAGGAGGCCTGGGGTCTGGAACCGAAACCGCAATATCTCCGAGGTATGCCTGTAAACTGTTTCAGAATTTTTAACTTTGGCTGTGGCAAAACAATATTTATTCTTTTCTGATGCTATACTAAATGTTCCTATGAAGATTTTTTTTTGCATAAGAAAATTGCTGTCTTTCAGGAATTATTAAAAGCGAAACAAAAAAATCCCTGGTACAAATAGCTTAATATTAGTATTTGTTTCTTAATAAGGAAATAGTGATTACAAGTGAAACACACATAAAGAAAAATGTATTTTAAAAATTCTCCCTTAAGAGTAATATACAGATGTTAGTCCTACTTACAACATTCCAGTTCATCTGATTTGTCACTGCAATCCACATTATGATCACATTTCTTATGTTTTCCAATGCACTGACCATTGGCACAGCGGAACTGATCAATTAAACAAAGCACTGGAGAAAAATGCAAATAGTTTTTTTATTTTTACTATGTTGTAAAGCCGAATACTACCAAGAATCAAAAAAGTACTTTGTGGGAACAAATGAAAACAAATGTGAGGCTTTTAGATATATCTTAAAAATTATTCTCAGAAAACTCATTGGTAGAGGAAAAAGACATTCCAGCAGGAAATTTCCTATTTTGTTATTTTTTAAAAAAGTGATTTTATTTATTTTTAGAGAGAAGGGAAGAGAGGGAAAGAAAAATTGGTGTGAGAAACATCGATCAGCTGCCTCCTGCAAGTGCCCCGACTGGGAATTGAACCAGCAACCTTTCCCTTTGTGGGACAACAGCCAACCAAATGAACCACACCAGTCAGGGACTCCTATTTTGTTCTTTATGTTAAATTTCATCATTCACTAATAACTCCAAAGAATTTGTGGGTTGTTTTTTTTTTTTACCATGTTAAAGGTTAATGGAGGAAAGAAAAAAATAATGAACTTATTTTACATTGAAATAAATAAATTCACTAATTCAGAGTTTATTGGAAACAAGTACTATTTTTACATACTGAAGTTCTTTTGGTCTCATTCCTCTGCTATGCTTATTAATGTGTATAAATCTTATGCATATTAAGTGAACTAAAACAGCAATTTGGAACATGTTACTATGCTTAACATAATAAGGTCAAATGTACTTGAAAACCCCAAATCTACCACTGAGCCAAAGCAACGCTCCACTCTGAATTGCAAACAACCTAATGGAGAAAGGACTTTATAACTGGGTCTTAAAATTTTTAGATACCTTCACAGTTCTTTTCATCTGATTTATCCTGGCAGTTTGCATCTCCATTGCATCGGAGTACACCATCAATACACTGCCCACTGGTACACTGGAACTGGGACTCTGAGCACACAGGACAGTTAAGCTCATCACTGTGGTCTTCACATTCAGTAAACCCATCACATCGCCAAGCCACAGGGATACAATCAATTTCTCCCGTGAAACAAGTAAACTGCTGAGGAGAACATGTTGGGGGTTCTTCAATAAACAAAGGGGAGGGGAGTAACAAAAATAAAGTAAGTATCACACAGAGGTCAAATACACCTGAGTGGAGCTCATTTAATAATTAATATATATTGTACAAAACACTTCATAATAGATCAAATCTGTAATCCACCCATCTCATCTAATCAGAGAAGAAATAACAAAAGAAGAAACTGATATACTCCACTCTACAGCTGAATCTCAAAATTATATTAAGAGAATCCAGACATTAAAGAGTACATATATCATGGTTCCTTCTATAAAGTTCAATAACAAGCATAGCTAAACTACAGGGATAAAAATCAGAACAGTGGTTACTTTTGGAAGATGAAAACTGGCTGCTAATGGACATGAGGGTACTTTTTTTAATGACAAGAGTTTCTGTCTTGCTTTGGGTAATGGAGTCATACACATTAGTTAAAACATGCTACTAATGTAATATGTGCACTAAAAACAATCACTAAATACAAAGAAAAATGCAAAGGTCTTTTTTTAAGACTTCTAAATAAGAGGTGATATCCTTGATTCAATTTTATCTGTGTTACTTCATAGAAGTAAATTTTTCTAAGATTTGCCTTATTTGAGTTAACACCAAGACCCTGATATGGAAGCATTTGCTTTTTTAAAAAAAATGTGTAAAATATATGTAGAAAAGCCCACCATTTAACCATTTTAAAGCGTACAGCTCAGTGGCATTGACTATGTTCACAGTGTTGTGCGACACTTGCTATTTCGAAGCACCAGAGCTTAACTCTTTCTGCGCACACACCTGATCTCCCCAACCACGCCGGTCTGTCTCTGAGACCTTCAAATCTTCTGTAGTCCAAGCAGTGTCTTGGATGCTGCTACTCAATACGTGTAACTTACTTTTTAAAAAAGTAGGAAAATTAAAAGAATAAAATATTCTTATAATACCATTTTTCAATGATTTTAACTTTTGCATTAAGCCTTTTCAATCTGTTCACAGCAATATGTATTTTATCTATCTTTTATAGGAGAAAACACTTTTATATCAGCTTATGATCATAATGTTTAATACCTTTATAAACTCAGTTCCCTAGTAATTTTCCTCTCATTAGAAATCAGATTATTTTAACATTCCTGCCACTATAGAGAACAGTTCTTCCCTTCAGTGAATTAACCTATTCAGTTACAGAACAGCTTAAACGATCTGCACAAGGAAATGACAACACATTTACCTCCACATGACAGCTCATCCTGAAGCAGAACCAAGTGCATAGGGCAAGAGCACCGTGTAGTACCATCTCCTTTTACAAGACAAATATGTGAACAGCCACCATTGTCCTGAGCACAGGGGTGCTGTCCTGCAGGGAAGGGAGGGCGGGAGGGAAGGAGGGAGGGTAGTTTAGTTAAAATCTACCACTTATGAAGTATCAAGAAAACAAAATGTAAATCACCTCAGACTTTATTTGCACACGTATATGCTTCCTTGCTCCATCCCTACACAACCTTCAAGAAAATGAGGACAAAGATTTAAAAGTACAAAACACTGTCTGTACATATTTATATATAAAATATTTTAAATGATTTTAAGCAAGGTAATGACACAGCTCATATTAATTTGTAGGCAGAAGGCTGAGACCTAGATATTGTTCTATTTAATATACAAAAACGCTTCTAAACTAGAGAGTTTAACTCAGATCTTTCTAAAAGATCAGATGATATTACTCAAAAACTATATTTTAATAAAGAATCCACTGATAATTAGAGTTCTTATAAGAAAAAACTTAAGTTCACATGGAACTCAACCGTTTGGAAACAATCAAAATTATCTACTTGGTCAACTGCAAAAGATAACCTGAAATAATACAAATGTTTCATTTCCTCATATTTAGGTTAAATTAAATACACAGTCTGGCAACTTTTCAAACTCTGTCTCACAGGTTGTATTTAATGAAATCACTGCTATGAATTTTCTACTTAGCTTGTGTGAAAAGCAACTGGATATCTGTCATGACAGAATACCAACGTCTAACGTACAGACACCCATTTATTATCTGACTCTCTTTTCACTGATATATCAGTTCTGCTTTAGCGTGTGCTGATGAGATTGAGGGAGTCAGCTCACTGTCCCAAAACACACGTCAGTCATTACATTAGGACCTACAAACTATATTAGGATCCAGTGTTTCTTGACCTTTAATTCCATGACACTTTTTTAAAGAAAATTTGACTTGGGGTGGTGAACACACAACACGACAATTCCACTAACCAATGTTACCACAATAAATTCAATAAAAACCAAATGTTAACCCAATTAGGGTTCTCAGCACAAATCACAGAAATGATGCCTCTCCTACTACTCTGGGCACACAGCAACCCTAAAACCAACAGAAGACAACAGAGGATGGCAAACCCCTACAACTCCAAATGGAGCTAAAGATACTTGATTCAGACATGCACAAAATAAAGTAGTTATAGGTGAAATTAGACCCAGACTCAGCAATGATAGAGAGTTATCTTTCATAATTCTTCACTAGACCTTATGCAGTCAAGTGCCATTTCCTCCTCCTGAGTACCATCACTCTGCCTCAACTGATCTGCCTATGGGCCATAACACTTTTGATAAACATAAATCTCATTCCCTTTAATGTTATTAAAGTTTTTAAAATGTTTTTCCAAGTATAAAACCATATTTAGATGTTGAATTATAAAAAAAAGATAACCTTGCTCCCAGAAGTTTTGAAAAGCTCAAGTGAGATCTTATATCAATTGAATATGTAACTTAGGTACTGTGTCATTATTATCTTATTTCCATCTATTACATGTTCAGCATGAATTATTGTACATGTCATAACACAGAATGGCAACAATGCTAACTGTCAAATTCTTAAATATCTCTAAACTTAGCTTCTAAGTCCATAAACGGTGACAACAAAATGGTGACCTCATTCCTCTATTCTTTCATATTCCTATTTGATTTGAAAGCATTGTGCTGAGAAGTTGAGGAATTTCAATAGTTCTCTCTTTAGTCCTCCATTTAACATGATTGTATTCCTGGTACAATCATGTAAGACCTACAGTAGTTACTGGTGAGGGTACTTTTGATTACAGACACCTATTAACAAGGAACTAGGCCAAAGATGATCGCTCATTTTCAAAGGTTTTCTTTAAAAAAATATATATATATTGTTGATTATACTATTATAGTTGTCCCATTTTTCCCTCTCCCCTTTATTCCCCTCTGCCCCGAATCCCCCTCCCACCAGCATTCTCCCATATTAGTTCATGTCCATGGGTCGTACATATAAGTTCTTTGGCTTCTCCATTTCCCATACTATTCTTAACCTCCCCTGTCCATTTTTTACCTACCATTTATGCTTCTTATTCCCGGTACCTTTTCCCCCATTCCCTGCTGATAACCCTCCGTGTGATCTCCATTTCTGTGATTTTGTTCCTGTTCTAGTTGTTAGCTTAGTCTGTTCTTTTTTTTTACTTTTAATATATTTTATTGATTATGCTATTAGTTGTCCCATTACCCCCTTCATTCCCCTCCAACCTGCACACCCTCTCCCACCCACATTCCCCCCCTTTAGTTCATGTCCATGTGTTGTAAGATCTTTAGCTTCTACATTTTCCATCCTATTCTTGCCCTCCCTGTCTATGTTCTCCCTACCATCTATGCTACTTGTTCTCTGTACCTTTTCCCCCCTCTCTCCTCCTCCCACTCCCCTGTTGCTAACCCTCCATGTGTTCTCCATTTGCTTAGTCTATTCTTGTTTTTTTTTCAAGTTCAGTTATCAATGGTTGTGAGTTTGTTGTAAGTTTTTGACCATAGTTTCCGATCATCTTCTATTTCTTAGATAAGTCCCTTTAACATTTCAAATAATAAGGGTTGGGTGATGATGAACTCTGTTAACGTGACTTTATCTGGGAAGCACTTTATCTGCCCTTCCATTCTAAATGAAAGCTTTGCTGGATAGAGCAATCTTGGATGTAGGTCCTTGCCTTTCATGACTTGGAATACTTCCTTCCAGCCCTTCTTGCCTGATTTTTTCTTATGGGCACTCCTTTATAGGTAACTGTCTCCTTTTCTCTTGCTGCTTTTAATATTCTCTCCTTATCTTTAATTTTGGGTAATGTAGTTATGATTGTCTTGGTGTGTGCTTCCTTGGATCCAACTTCTTTGGGACTCTCTGAGCTTCCTGGACTTCCTGGAAGTCTATTTCCTTTGCCAGATTAGGGAAGTACTCCTTCATTATTTTTTTAAATAAGTTTTCAATTCCTTGCTCTTCCTCTTCTCCTTCTGGCACCCCTATGATTTGGATGTTGGAATGTTTAAAGTTGTCCTGGAGGTTCCTAAGCCTCTCCTCATTTTTTTGTTTGTTTGTAATTCTTATTTCTTCATTCTGTTCTGATTGAATGTTTATTTCTTCTTTCTGGTCCAAACCATAATCTGAGTCCCACTTTCCTTCCCCTCACTGTAGGTTCTCTGTACATTTTCCTTTATTTCACTTTTCATAGCCTTCACTTCCTCTATTTTGCAACCATACTCAACCACTTCTGTGAGCATTCTGATTACCAGTGTTCTGAACTCTGCATTGCATAGGTTGGCTACCTCTTCATCACTTAGTTGTATTTTTTCTGGTGCTTTGATCTGTTCTCTCATTTGGGATATATACATATATATATTTTTTGTCTCTGAGTGCTTGTTACATAGTAAGGAGTGGAGCCTTAGGTGCTCACCAGGGTAGGGCAATCCATTTCACAGTTTGTGGTGCTGTCTGTAGGGGAGGGGTCCAAGAGGGAACAGTGCCACTTGCTCAGCTCTCTGCTGGCTTTCAGTCACTTCCCCCACTACCCACAAGCAAATTGGGCCCTTCTGGTGCTGATTCCCAGGTGGGTGGATGGGTTTGTGTATGTTCTGGGGCTCTGTGAGTCTCCCCAACAAACTCTCCTGTGAGGCTAAGAGTTCCTCCCACCACTACCTCAACCCCCACAGGATATTTTAGTCAGAGGTTCTGAGGCTTTATTTCCCCTGCACTGGAACCCCAGGTTTCGCTCTCTCTCTCTCACTCCCCAGTTGTTCCTCCTGGTTTATCCGGCCACTCCGCTAGCCGCCACCTCGCCCAGTTTGCCCTGGTCCTCCGGCTGCTGCCTTGCTGTGAATTTTCTCTGTCTAGCTGCCCTTCTCCACCCCTCCTACTGTCTGGATGAATGTTTCATCTTTAACTCCTTGGTTGTCAGACTTCCATACAGTTTGATTTTCTGGCAGTTCTGGTTGTTTTTGTTGTTAAATTTTTTTTGTTGTCCTTCTTCTGGTTGTATGAGAAGACAAAGTATATCTACCTATGCCTCCATCTTGGCAAGAAGTTCAAGTTTTCAATAAGATAAAAGGAATATTTATGGCTACTTTTGTAAGCTGAGAATTGAAAACTTTATTCAAGAGGGGAAAAAACAAGCACTTATTAAAGTGCTGTATTCAATTTTTGCACACTAATTTTTAGTTTGTTTTGCTTTTGCTAAAGAATAAAGTTACTCCATAAATATATTCATCATCATGTAAATATAACTTTTGTTTTTGTTTGAATTATGAGGTATACAGGGAACCAAAGAAATACATGCCTTATACTAATATTCTTAAAGAGGCTGAAAGACAGAAAGGAGAGAAAGAGAACATATAACAAGCGGGACCTTTGTTGTACCTGGGGAAATTTTTGAAAATGAGTAAGACCATTCCTTTACCCCACTCCTATTTTATGAGGAAATGATGTTTAATTTGAAAAAGCTCCCAGGTAAGTTCAGCATAAAGATAAAAAGTTGGAAAACCTAACAGTACATGAAAATCTTCAGGATAAAGTGGTAAGAAGATACAAAAGAATATCTTATTTTTAATTTCTTACAATAAATACAAATCCTACAATTAGCAGTACACCATCAGCACTTACTATATTCCTGAAGGTTCAGCTCCTTTACTGCATGAATGTCACTGAGCTGAGCTATTCGAGCCTGGACTTTGGTTCTACCCTCTCGACCTGTCATGTCAATTTTTTCAATCATTTGCTGCTGCTTATCAATCCAGTATAGCCAATTTTCAAACACAGTCAGTCCCACAGGCTGCAAGATATTGGAATCTTCTAATACTACTCGGTTGGCACCTTGGAGAGAAGAGAACATTCACCAGAAATAATTCATGTGGGTCAAGTCATACATTCAACAATTATTTACTGAAAATTAAGATTCTAAAAGTTCTGAAAAGGAAAATATAAACTCTTTACTACAAAACTTCAGAATCATTCTTAGAAGATATACACATACCAGAAAACAAGACAATAGACTAGACATTCAAGTGCAATCAATAGCAAGTAAGTGCAATATACAGTTGTATTCTAATTCACATAAATGTAGAAAAGAACTTAGAGCAGTTTTTGAATGATTTTTAAAGCTGAGTCCATTTTTCAAATAAAATTTTATGAAAAGCTCTAGCATATAAAAACAGAAGCATGTACTAAATGCATTTCAGTATAAAAGGTTCTGTGGGAGGCTAAAAATGTGAAGCAGAAAAAGATCCTATGATAAAAATATATATTATTGGTGACTATATACAGAAGGAAAAAAGAAAAAAAATGCTGCCAATATTATACTAACCTTTCTCACAGAAAACAAAAAAAAGGGGAAACATATTTAATGAGGCAATGTAACCTTGACAGCAAAACTCCAATTACATTGTAAGAAAAGAAAATTATAGGGTATTCTTTCTCATGAACAGGGATGCAAATATCTTACACAAACAATAGCATATCCAAATCTATCAATGTATATAAAAAGGATACTGTATCATGCCAAGTTTGCTTTATTCTAGCAAACTAGGAACAAAAGGAAACTCTCTTAATCTGATTTAAAAAAAAGCTATCTACAGAAAAACCTTAGCAAACATAATACTTAATTACAAAGTATTAAATACTTCCCCCCAAATCAAGAAGCAAAGCCAAACAAAAAACACCAAATCTTCCATTATTATTACAATCACCACTGTTTTGGGGGTCCCAGACAGTATAATAAAGCAACAAGGAAAAGGACTGGAAAAAAATTCAATATCTGCACACAAATGATTCTGTAACATAGAAAATGTGAAAGAAACTACAGGAAACAAGCTCAGGATATCACAGTGGGGGATGGATGAGAGAACAGATGAACTGTATTTATATGTTTCAGCTATAACCACAAAATAAAGTCTTGAAAATTTAGAATACTCTTTATCACTAGCATTCAAAAGCATTAAATACCAAAAAATTAATAAAACATGGGCGACTTCTATACAGAAAACAATAAACAACACTGAGGGAAATTAAAGTTCCAAATAAAAAGAGATAAACCAGTGTTCATGGTTTGGAAGACTAATATTACAAAGAAAATAATTCTACTAAATTGACTTATAAATCCAAAGCAAACCCAGTTGAAGTTCTAGTAATGCTATTTCCACTTTTTTGCCACTGAAAGCAGTGTTGCAGTGAATATTCTTGTGCCTATATCAGAACATGTCTCTATGGGCTAAACACAGCAGTGGAATTGCTATGCAATCTGGTGTATATAGATTCAATATGAATGGATAGATCTAAGATGCTCTCCAAAATGATTACATCAATTTAAAATTCCTGCCAGAAGTATAAATGAGAATTGGTATTGTTAGACTTCTAAATTATTACCAATCCAATTATTTTATAAGTATATCCCATTATTAATATAATCTGCATTTGCCTGTTTGACATTGAGGTTAATTTATTGGTCTTTCATATTTCTTCTCTGAATTACTATTCATAGCCTTTCCTCATTTTTCTATTACTGATTTCTAGACATTCTTTATTCAGAACAAATTTGGGGAGGGATATACAAGGGCTTCAAAATTCAAATGTTTTATATCAAGAGAGAGGAGGAGGAAGCAAGGTTCAAAAGCAAATATGGCCAAACAATAAGATCTGACAAAGTTGAGTGGTGGGAACCCTGTGCTTTCTCCATGTTGGAACTATTTCATAATTAAAGGTGGGAAAAAAGGCACAGAAAAAAATGAAAGTTAATTCATTAAAGTGTTAAGTAACGATGATGGTATGAATTTTCCCTTTTTTGTACTTCTAAACTGTCTCTAATGAACACATGTTACTCTTACAACAAAAATAAGCATCCTAAATGAAGAAAAATGGAGAAAAGGAGAGAAGGGGGAAAATATCTTTAATACTAATAAAAGGTAAAACACTGATGTAAAAGCAATTATACAAATTAAAGGTGATATAAAAGATATAGGTCATCAGATGAGAGGAAAAATACATCATACTAAGTAAATATGCACACACACACAAATATGTCCATGACTATCTGAAATCAGAGAAGGCAAATGAAATGGAAGCATTTGAACCTCTAAAGACAATATTTTTTTAGTTTCTTAAAAGGTACAAATGTATTTAAACATAAAAATTCAAATGATACAGAAATAAATACTATTAACATATTAGTATGCTAGCCTTTCAGACCTTTCTCAAAGTATATTTATGTATTTCTCAAGGAATAAACAAACATGTACACCCATGTTCTTAAGAATATATATATATTATGTGTCTATATATGCATACATACATGTATATATAGTATAAATATTTTTGGAGGGCAATTTGCCAATAAATACAATACCTATGAAATATTTTAAACAAAATTAGATTTTAATAAACAACTTAGTTTTTAAAAATCATCTTTCCATGCCACTGCACACAGATCTACCTCATTTGTTGGAATGACTGTACTATTCCCATAAACATGATATTGAACGTACTGAGGTCTGTCCAGAAGGTATCCATCTCAGCCACATATGAAAGAGGTATTTTTTAAAGAGGATACAAGATACAGAAAATACTGTACGTAGGACAATGATGCCTCACGATTCATCCCCAGTTATGACTTTCTTAAGGAAATCTGGCCATTGGTAGTTCTTTGAACCAAGTCATTAGCAAATGCAACATGATGTTACTTCTGCTCTGGTAGCAGAAGCTGCGGAATGAACTTTGCCACAACACACTTCATGTCAAGATCCTGCATCAAAGTCTCGGACACAGTATTTTTTAGAATCCCCTGATCCGATTCTAGTTTTCTCACTGTCAGTTGCTGATCTTTGTTGAAAGCAGCCTGTACATGTTCAACATTCTCAGGTGTTCTACTTGTTGCAGGCCTTCCAGAATGAGGACCACTTTCAACAGATTCTCAACCATCTCTGAAGCATTTGTGCCACACTTTTGCTTGTGCTAGACTCATTGCATCATCCCAGAAAGCCTTCTGAATCATCCAAATAGTTTCCTCAGAGAAATGTTCAAGCTTAATGCAAAATTTGATGCAGATTTGTTGTTCTACTCATTCAGCCATTTTGAATGTGACAGCCACACAGTACACACACTTACTCAACAAGTATCTACCACTCCCACTGACTAATACAGTGAAGTTGTCATTGTTCACATATGTGCATTCCAGTCCACTCTTCTTGGCTGCCGGGTTACATCAATATTGCACAAACTGTTCTCATTATATCAACAATGGCTGGACTTTTCCTGGACAGACCTCATAGTTCTCTGTAGTAGGCTATTACAAAATAATGCTTAGCAAATACCCTCCTACAACTAGGTCAGCATTTCTGTAACACAGCTAACTGAAAGGGCAATTTATTGGCAAACTGCCCTCCAAAAATGTTCTACCAACTTCTACTCCTACCAAAGTACAGGGAAGCATGCCATTTTCTGCTATTCTTGCTAATGTTGGGTATAACCAACTCTAACATATTTTTGCCACTCTGATAGACATAAATAATGTATTATTTTAAGTTCATTTTCATGATCACTAGTGAGATCACAAAGAATATTTGGACATCAGAAATTGTGGGAAGAAGCAACTATGATTTTAGACAGAGGACTGCAGAGAAATGAGAAAGTAAAAGTACATCTGAAGACCAACAAATGATTTGAATTGGTCTCAAAATACCAGGATTGTTATGATCATTTGAGTTTGCTGATGAGCTTATGAAAGGTGAATACCACCTTAAGTGCACAGCTAAACATTTTTTCTTCAGGTTATGAGACTACTCTGAAGATTTTTTTAGTACAGAAGTGACATGATTACAAATGATGCTTCAGAAAATTAATCTAGGAATAGTGTGTAAACATTTAAGACCAGGGGAATCAACAGGGATGAAACTAATCACAGGTTAGAATTCAAGACAGAGATGATGAGAAATAAAGTAGAGCAGAAGAATTAGGAAAGGAGCAGAAATACATTAGAAATATATTTACAGAGCTAAGCCCAAATGAATATTGGCAGGTTATTAGATAACAGATGGAATAATCATATTGATGGCTGAAGACAAAAGTTCTTCCTAACCTACTTAATGCTAACTATTTTTAGTAAAAAAACTATAAAGAAATATGTACAAAAATAATACAATGGAAGAAAAATACAAATGCTACTGACAAATCATCTTAATACCTCAAATCAAAAGAAGGAAGCAGGCCCTGGCTGATGTGGCTCAGTTGACTGGGCACTGGCCTACCAATCAAAAGGTCACTGGTACAATTCCCAACCAGGGCACATCCCTGGGTTGCAGACCAGGTTCCCAGCTAGGAGTGTGCAAGAGGCAACAGATTGATGTATGTCTTGAAAATTGATGTTTCTCTCTCTCTCTTTCTCCTTCCCTTCCCCTATTTCTAAAAATATAAAATCTTTAAAAAAATAAGAAAACATATTTTGGGGGTACCTGAGAGATCACTGCTTTCAATTCGCCGGAGATCTGAATCAGCCCAAAAGAGCTTGCCCAATCTGCTATCAAGGGCTAAAGCAATTGGCTTACTTAAGCCACTGAAAAAGAGGACCTCCCGTTCTGTTCCATCCAAAGCAGCTCGTTCAATTTTTGGAGACCTTTCCTGAAGATTGGTAAAATACATATACCTAAAGAGAAAGGAGGAAATAACAAGTTTACTAAAATCAGAAACCATACAAAATGAGAAGATTCTTATTGATTAAAATCAAAACAGGTAGAATACTTTAAAATCTTATTTTGAAATGTTTTAAAATATTTTTAAAAGGCTATGAGATACTGTTACTTTCAGTAATATTAACAAAGGGTACACAGAATTTCTGAGGGAGTTAACTTTCAAGGATTAATAAAACAAAGTGTTAGACACTGGCAGTTACATTTTTTTGAAATACTACAATAAAATAAAATAAGACAGAAAATTTTAAATTCCTCCCTTAATGTCCATTTCACAACTAAAAACAAGTCATAAAAGTCATTTCTTATATTTAAGTTCTAGAGTTCATCTTTTTCCTGTAACTCTTGAGAAGCTAGCTACTTTCATGCTGAATTCCTTATCATTCATTCAGATGCAAATATACGCAATTTATTAAATGCAAAGATTTGTATTAAATGAAAGAAAATACATTAATTCTTGGCATAAAGGAACCTAAATACTAGTAGGAAATATAAGACTGAAAAGTAAAAGTTGTAATGTCAATTAGAAAGGACTAGATATAACTAGAGAGACACAGATATACTAGTACTGGGCATTTAGGAGAGGGGAAAATCACATCTGGCTAGGGTTGGAGCAAATCAAGGAAAACTTCAAGGAGGATGCTGCAGTTCAAATGGTCCTAGAAGGAAGGATGGGTAGAAATGAAAATTAAAGCAACAGAGACTAACAAAGGAAATTCTAGGCAGTAAAATGAGAAAAAGGAAGAAAATGCAGGGGCGGATAGATGGAGAATATCAAGTTTTTCATTGTTAACACAGGATATTGCAAGGTAAATAAACAAGGAATGCAAAGAAAGGCAGGTCTGAGATGCCAAGACATCTGAATGGTACTTCAGTAACATACCCTTTCTCTGGGTTTACCACAATGGCTCGAGGTCTGTCTTGCTCGCCTTTTAGCACCACTCCAATAGATCTCCCATCTAATCTTGTTACATTAATGACATTGGTGGCCTCACAAGTCCAGTAGATGTAGCGGCTATAAATATCAATGCTGAGGTCATAGGGTTGTATTTCTAGGTTCTGATTTGGAACTGAACTCACAACCACAGTAAAGCCCTAAGGAAAGAAAAAGACACACGTACACATAGAATATCAGACTCTAAACCAGATAGCCCTGAGGCAGTCATTTACCATACTTACATTTATATGGTTGCTCATCAGAGAAGGAAGTCTCAAGGGATATTTCTTACTGATACATTGTTTTATAAGTAATGTGCTTCTTTGTTAACATGCATTTCAAATGTTCCCTTGGATTATTATGGCATGGGGCAGCAGAGCAAGCTAAGGCCACATTAGTTGCTCTAAGAATCTGACAGTGTGCTCACGAGTGTGAGAAGGGGGCAGCTCTCCCTTACAGACAACCCCACCTAGAACCACACCTTAGAAATACCCCTAAAGCAGTGGTTCTCAACAAGAGCATTTGCAAATGTCTAAACCAGAGGCATCTGACAATGTTTGAAGATACTTTTGATTGTCATGACTCTGGGAGGTGTAGTTGGCATCTAGTGGCCACAGGCCACAGATGTTGCTAAACAGCTTACAATATTCAGATCAGTCCTCCACAACAAAGAATTATCCAACCCAGCTCTGGCTGGCATGGTTTGGTTGATTAGAACATCATCCTGTGGAGCAAGAGGTCTTGGATTTGATTCCCCAGTCAGGGCACATGCCTGGGTTGCAGGTTTGGTCCCCTGTTGAAGTGTGTATGAGAGGCAACTGATAGATGTTTCTCTCTCACACTGATATTTTTCTCCCTCTCTCTCCCTCCCTTCCCCTTATCCAGGTGATTAAAAAAAAAAAAAAGAATTATCCAGCCCAAAAATGTCAACAGTACTAAAGCTGACAAACTCTGCTCTAGAGACAATGGCAATTAGGGCTAATAAACCATGTCTATCAGTCAGGCCTGCCTGCAATCCTCAAATCCACCCCACCCCACTCCAAAAATTCTTTTTACAAAGTCAAGCAAAAAGAGAGCCTTTTGTTCACCTGTTCTAGCTGAATAAATTGTATTTCATTTACTCAGCATCTCCGAGGCAATGTATTCCTTAATGAAGCTATCTTACTTATTTGCCATGCCCTTGGCTGTATAATAACAGTTCTAATTTCCTTCTACAGGTCTTGGCCTACAAAGAGTAACATCCATCTACAATATACCACTATTGACTATACAACTAAATGATAAGTAGACCTAAATATTGGGTTGGCCAAAAAGTCCATTTTGTTTTTTCCCATAAGATGGCTCTAGTAGTGCTCAGTTGTCTTTAACCTCATTGAAAACAACTTTGCTAGATTGTACTGTGACAGCTGTCATATTAGGGTGCATTTAAAAAAAAACATCGATATTGGCAAATTTTTGTGTAGCCATTTTAATGTCAAAGATGGAAGAAAATAAGTGACATTTTTGGTGTATTATGCTTTATTATTTCAAGAAAGCTAAAAACGCACACAAAAAAAGATTTGCGCACTGTATGGAGAATGTGCTGTGACTGATAGAATGTGTCGTGACTGACAGAATGTGTCAAGTTATTGGTGAAAATGAAAAATGTGTCTTTTATGTTACAGAAAAAACCACACAGCCTTTTTGGCCAATCCAGTACATTATCCCCTTGCTCTTCTGTGTAAGAAAAGACATATAAAAAATCAGTAATCTCATCTCCCTAAATTTTAACATGTTCAAAATTAAACTGAACATTATTGCCATGGGAAGATAACAAATAATTATTTGTAGCAATCCCAGTCTAATACTATTTGGTCATAAAAAGAAAGCAAAGAAGTATGGATAGTATACAAACCATGACTGGTATGTAAGCATAGGTAAGTTTTGTTGATAATGTCTTCATTCCCATCCCACAGTCACCAAATATTTACCAAAAAAGATGCCAATGGATTAATAGCATATCCTATTAGGGGTGTCCAACCTGTGGTCCATGGGCCATATGCAGCCCAGGATGGCTGTACATGTGGCCCAACACAAAATCGTACATTTGCTTTAAACACTGTAAGAGTTTTTTGTGATGACATGTCACAATGTATTTAATGTGTGGCCCAAGACAACTCTTTTTTTTCCAGTGCAGCCCAGAGAAGCTGAAAGGCTGGATAGCCCTGTTAGATGTTTTTAATTTTACTGAGGCTGTGTTATGTGTTTCTTATCTTTTGAACTTTTAAAATAATCATTAACTAGTAACAGAACCATTATTTATTGAGTCTCTTATCATGTAACAGGTAATGCACTATGTGCTCTACATTCCATTCAGCTATAAAGTTCATAAAAATCCTAATGCGTGATAGACCTGAGATCAGAACTGAGGTCTTTTTGATTTCAAAGCTTCCAACACTCCATGTAAATGAAACCATAATGAAAAAATACTGTATAAATGGATATGGATGGCAGTGACTAAGTCATTACCAATATATGAGCATAAGTTATCTAAATATAATTTTCATTCCAATAGTATTATCAATTATATACTGAAAGATCATTAGAGGGGAAAAAGCTGCTCAGTCTAGAATTTCAGTTTCACACACACACATGTAGATTCAACACTTAAATACAATAAAGTAGGATGACTGGTTAGTCCAATTACTAGGTAGAAAAAAATGGTTTTTGCACTGAGTTTTGAATTACCTGGCTGCCATCCTCTTGAGCTTTTCGGATCATGTTTTGTCGTGAATCAATCCAATATAGTTGCTTGTCCAGTGGGTCATAGTCAATTGCCCGGACATTCCGAAGGCTGTGGATAGGAAGGATGATGTCAGGGCTCTGCTGTTCATCAATTACCATGCGGTTGATCGCGCTTTTTTGACTGAAGAGCAGGAAAGTAGTTGGAGCTTAAAGAAAGAAAAGAGCAAATCTGAAACACAAACTAAATCCTGCATCACTCAAAGATATGATCGGCCTATAGCTGTATCTCATACAAAACATACATACATGTTGAAGAGGTAAAAAGGTTAAGATTGAGGACAAAACCCTTTGGAATATCCCCAGAAACTTTCTTTAAAGTGACACTAATCAGCACTCTGGTTACCAAACCAGTTATGAATTGACTCAGTGACATAGCTATCTGCCTCTTTTTTGTACAGTGGCATCACAGAAGGCTTGATGTCAATGAGGCATTTGACAAAGATATATACAAAAGTCTCCCTGTTTATGAAGTAAATAATCCTCCACAATCTTTTCTTGTCCAGTACACCAACGGTTGTGAGCTCATTCCCCAGTCAGGACACATACCCAGATTGCAGGTTCAATCCCCGGTCAGAGCATGTATGGGAGGCAACAGATCAGTGTTTCCCCACCCCACCCCACCCCACTCCCTTCCTATCGCTCTAAAGTCAGTAAAACATATCCTCAGATGAGGACTAAAAAAGCAATTAAGACTAGTTTTAGTCTCGACTCTCTCACTAGTTACTTGATCTTAACTAAGTCACTGAACCTCTTTGCATTGATGCTTATGCAACTCTAAAGTAAGATTTTATCTATCTTGTCTTGCTCATTGAGTTGCTATAAGAATTTTATAACATATGAAAAGTTACTTTAAAGTTATAAGGCATTATATGTCAATTATAACAATAAAAATTGTAAGGCATTATATAAACTAAAAACTATTGTTTATTGTTATCAGTAGCAACAGCAATGAACTTGAAATTAATGGAAATCAAACAAACCCTGATGGATTGCAGATATAGGCTTTATTTTGCATTGGGGGTATGTGGTTTTCACTGTGAGAAGGAGCTGGTAAAAATCTCTCTCGTCCTGCCAAACTAATAATAAATGCTTTTACTTATTACCTCTAATCCTCATGACAAGACCTGTATTTATATTTTCACTAAAAAAAATATTCTGCTCTGATTCTAAGTTGATGCCCTAAATTTAAGAAATGGGGTGATGCAACAGAGACGACATTACCCTTTCCTAAGGACTAGGCTTCTGATTGCTGTGTGAGCATCTTGAGTGCAGGAAAACATCTAGGAAATAACAGCATTTGACAGTGCTACCAACAACTTGAGTCTAACAGCACTTTTAAAATCTTCATTAAAAATACATAAAATTTCATAGCCTTTCATTCTCTTGGGAGTCAGCCATCAACTAAATCCAGTAGAATTTTGCCCTTCTCAGGGAAATAAATGTAAATGGTGAAGCTTAACGCCTTCTTTTCCCCACTGTGCCCCATTCTTTATGGCTCTATATCTGTGGTTCCCTGCTTTACTTTACTTTTACACCCAAACGTATACTGGCTTGCATCCCAGAGAAACTCACTGGTACTCGCAAAGGAATTTGGTATTCATAACACTGAAATTCTGCTTTAAGTTCTTCACTGGCTAAAAGCCCACACTTAGCTTGGAAAATTTAGAACATATCCCAATGATCCCACTGGAGTTCTCTATCATCTTGAGTTCACTGCATATTGATTTAACAATTTTTAGCAATTTTAGTAGAACTTGTGCCTTAAGTAGTAAGAACATGTGTCACAAGAAAATAGCTCACAAATCCACCCATTTTCTTCCTTCTTTTTTAAAAAAAAATTACTTATTTTTTGAGAGGGGGAAGAGAGGGAGGAAAACATTGAGGCAAGAGAGAAACATTGATCAACTGTCTTCCGTACATGCCCTGAACAGGGACGGAACCCACAGCCTAGGCATGTGCCCTGACTGGGGATTGAACTAGTGACCCTTTGCTTTATGGGATGATGCCCAACCAAGTGAGCCACACCGGTCAGGGCTGTATTTAAGAACAAACTGACAGTAACCAGAGGAGAGTGGGGAGGGAAAAAGGGAAGAGTCATCAAGGAACATGTATAAAGGACATATGGACAAAGCCAAAGGGGGGTAGGATAAGATCAAGGATGGGAGGTGGGGATGGGTGGGGCGGGAGGGAGTGGTGGGGGTAAAATGGAGACAACTATACTTGGACAACAATAAAAAAATTTATTTAAAAAAAAGAATGGTTTTTTGGCAGTACTTTCTTATAAAGCAAGAGAAAAGAGAAGTCTCGAAATTGTAAGTTTCCAACAGCATAAGTACCACCTGTACTAAGCCATACACTGAAACTTAGAAGATCCCAAAATTTTAGTTGCCAACTTTTCCCTGACTGGGACACAATATCAAATATATATGTGGTCCCTAGGATGTTTTTTATTGAACTTTATTAAGTCAAGTTTTAAGCTTCAGTAAGATTCTACAATTAGATGTTCTAGAAATGTGGATTACAACAAAGCCAAACATGGCTTGAAATAAATGCTTGTTTCTAGAAGTCTATGGATAACATTAGCAATTAAAATTAATTGGCTTAATGTTTCTAAGAGGAAGCTGATGTTTTGACTTTTTTACAAGCCATTCAATGCTTAAAGTAAGAAAGAATATACAATTCCATAAGTCTAAATCCATCCTAATTTATGTAACCTCTAACCACCTTATCTCCTGGGGAAGGGTGCTTTAAAAATGGTTCTATCGGGCTGTCTGAATTTTATATTCCTGCAATGAAAAAAGCCATGTACAGAAGCTGGAGGATGAGGTGCAAGCAGAAGGGAGCTATTTAGTTCTCTGCTGAAGGTTTAAGTGTTCACCTGTGGCTTAAGGAGAGGCACTGCTCTTGTGTAAGAACAGCAAAATCCACAAGGCCTGGCCCAACACGTCTTACTGTGCCAATAGGCATTGAGTTGGGACTGAAGTACAATCCATACTTCATTACCCAAGCCATATACTTGTGCAGCTGTTTCTGTCCAGAGGAAGTATCTTTTCCCAGTTTGCACAAAGGTGCCATAGAAGTCAGCCACTTCAGTCCTGAACAAGGGATTACACAATTTGATTTCCCGTTTCCTCTCTGATGTAATCTATTTGTTCACTCTGTTCCAACACTGGCCGCCTAGGTGTTCCTCTAACATGCCAGACATATTCCCTCCCTAGGGCCTTTGCATTAGCTGCCCTCCTTGTTCTCGTTAGGTCTCCCCCCAGATATCCACGTAGCTCATTTCCTTACCTCCTTCAGTTCTTGACATGTCACTTTTTAGTAGTGACTTCTCTAATAACCCTATTTAACATTGCAATCCTCCTCCCGACATTTCTCACACTTATTAATTCTTCATAACACATATCTCCATCTAATCCACGATATAGTTTACTTAATCTATTCGTTATCTGTTCCCCTGGAATGTAAGCTCCATGAGAGCAGGGACTGATGCCTATTTCATTCACTGCTATATTCTCCAATGGCTCAAATAATGCCCAGTATGTAGGAGGTGTTCAATAAATATTCACTGATCAAATAAACAAATAAGGAAATAAATAAGCATTAGATGATGATAACTAAGGAAATCCGTGTAGCCATGATTTTGAAATTAAGAAAACAAAACTGTTTCAGAGACTTGGGATGAAAAACAAACGAACATTTATTTAAAACCTCCAATGTGTCACACATCATACAAGATACTATTTAATTCCCAAAATTATCATCTCCATTTTAGAGGTGAATAAACTCAGAAAGGTTAAGTAATTTTTAAAGGAAGCCTAAAAAGTTTTTTTCCAAGGTCACAAAGTCATTGAATGGAAGAGGACACGTGTTTTTCCAATCCTGTTCTATTTTTTCATTCTTTTATTTAACAATGATTTATTGAATACCTATTTACCTACTGAGCACTACTTGAGGCACCTAAGATATACCAGTGAAAAAACAGGAAAAAATGCTACTTTGTGGAGTTTATATTCCAATAGATAGACAATAAACAATAAACATAATGAAAAAGTTATAGTGCATAAATAATACAGTGTATAAACTATATAGTATATTAAAGAGTGTTAAGTGTTATAGGGAAAAGAAAAAATAAGTACAAGTAAAGAGCACTGGCATGCTAGATAGGGTGGAAGGGCGATTTGCAAATTTTAAATAGGGTAGATCAGGTCTCCCAGTGAAAGTCACAATAATGAAGACTTGGAGGGGAAGTACATCTATGCAAATATTTGCAGGAAGAATGTTCCAAGCAGAGAAAAGAAGCAGGTGGCAGTAACTGGAATATTGAAAAATTGCAATGGGGCTAGTATGGTTGTCTTGGAAAGAGCAAGGAAGACAAGAGTAAAAGCTGAGGTTACAGAAGCAAAAGGGGGGAGGTTCCAAATATTGGGTACAGCTCATATAGGAACTTGTAGGCCATTATAAGACTAGGTGTTTACTCTGTGTGAAATGGGAGCCATTGTAAGGTTTTAAGCACAGAAACATGATCTGATTTAGCTTTTGAAACACAGGTCAAGCAGTAAATTACACAATGTAAGAGAACTTTTTAAGGGCAAGTACTTTGTGTTAAACTTTTCTGGTAATCTGCCTTAAAATCTAATACATCTATACACAAATATTAAATAGCGCTATTATAATAAAAAGAGCACACAATGGAAGGCTTCTTGAGTCACTGCTGATCTATCTTGGAAAAGTAGCCTACCACAGTTATTAGGAACACTCAGCACTGATTTCTCATGGCCTTCACTGACCAACTAACATGCCCTCGTGACAATGATCTCAAAAGGACTTTCCATAGTCTTGTTGTCTCTATCCTCAATCAGTTATTACTCCCATTTTCTCCTTCCATTTAAAGTCGAACTTCTTGAATAAGACATCTACACATACCTCCCATTCTTCTTCTCCATTCACTTTTTGATCTACTTCAGTCTTTCACCATTACTTCCCTGAAATTATTCTCTTCAGGGTTATGAAAATGACCTTATCCAAAAATCCAGTGGATACTATTTTAGGCCTCATCTTACTCAACCTCTCAAGCAGCATCCAACAGAGTTCTTTTTGAAATGATCTTTTCTTTCATCTCCTGTGTCTCTGTTCTCTTCTGGTTTTCCTCTTACCTCTCTGGCTATTACTTTTCAGTATCTGCTGCAAGCTTTCCGTCCTCAACCAGAGCTCCTTAAGTCACCTGATGCCTTCTTTTCTCTACACAAGGAGTTGGCAAATTATGGTCCACAAACTAAATCTGGCCTGCTGCCTGTTTCTGTAATAAAGTTTATCAGAACTCAGTACATTTTTAAAATGTATTGTCTATGACTACATTCATGCCATAGCAGGCAGTGTTGAGCACATGTGAGAAATTTTACAACTCACGAAACCTAAATAAAATACTAATTCTCTGGCCCTTTACAGAAAAGATGTGCTGATTTCAGCTCTACATCTCCCTAAGTAGCTCCCCTATTTTAAAAACATGCTGGCAATTCCAAAATTTCTATCTCCAATATCATCTCTCTCTCGGAGCCCTGAGATCTTCTAGCCAACTTATTTAGTATTTATATTCCAACACCCCATAGAAATATCAATATAAATCTGCCTAAAATTAAATTTTTAATTTCTTCCTGAAAACCATCCTTCCTCTTCATACTTCCTCATCTACTACCTACTTACCTGATCAAACCAAGAATCTAGACATCATAGTTGCTTTCTTCCTCTTCTTCTTCCCGATACACAACTCCTGTTCATGCGGGTTTCAAAATATACCTTGACCATTCCCACTGCCACCATGAAATCCAAGTCTGCTGACATTACCACACTATACTCATTGACTTTTCTACCACTTCTTTTCCTCCTCAAATCCATTCTCCACATCAATCAATCATGTTATACCTCATTTAATTTTCACAGCAACCCTACAAAGTAGTTACTATTATTATTCCCAAATGAGAAAAATAAAGGTTTAGAAAAACTAATGTGACATGCTTTAATAAAACACAAAACTAACATGGAAGACTCCAAATCATTAAACTATAAACTTATGTTCCTTTTCATGACTGAAGAAGCCTACCTATCCTTTCCTATGTGATTTCTTACATTCAAGAACAGAATAAAGTAATTTCAAAAATTACATCCCATATTGTACAGTTTTGTATCTTCTACCCTAGTGAACCATACCCTACTTCTCCCCCATGAATCTACTTTTTCTGATCTAATTCTCTATTTCTTTATCATATCTACCAACTTGTCCTTGTCTATCCACCAACATGGCTTTCATGGATACTTAAAGCATGAACTAGGTTTCCCTATACCAACATGTTTTGTTATTCACTGTGCTTTGTTGTTAGCTGTGTGTGTGTATTTAATACGCAGTACCTATTAACATTTGAGGTGAGGAGGTATTGTAGCCCCCCCCAAAATATCTGGGTTCAAGACTACATAAGAAGATCTGGTAACAACAATTGGAATTAGTAGCGACCGCCCACCATTGTTCACAGCATGTGCTTTCTAGTTTTCCATCTACTTATGACTGTCCCATATTGGACTAAATTTACTCACATGCCTTTTCTATCTGGTCTTCTACATCTTCTACACTTAAATTTTTTAATATTTAGCCTATTCTATTAACTTCAAAGGACAAAGTGTTTGTATTTTGGAGATTCTTTTTGTTGTACTGTTTGTACTGCTCTTCTCTTCCTTTACAATGAGTAAATATGAATTATGTATAGCACACATGTAGGACTGTCTGTCTCTCTCAATGAAGCTATGCAGATTTTGAACTACATATTTAATATTGAAGGGTAAAAGATTTTTCTGTAACATCAAGTATTCCAACAATATCAACTAGCTGTCATCAAATAAAAAGTAACAAAAACATGTATTTTTCCATCTCTAGTCCCTCCCTTTTTTATTAAACAGATGACCAACTTCAGGGTTCTACACCGTTTTACTCTAGAAAGAACATAACCAGTTTTCAAAGTCCTGATTTCTCCTCTAATTCTAGTTTGCTCTGGAGGAAATGCAACTTACCACTACAAGTCCTGTTGTCAGCATTGAGAGAGTAGTGGGCAGGGCACCCACACACATAACCTCCAACTGGCACAGCCAAGCAGAGGTGGGAGCAGTGCCCATTGCTGGAAGCACACTCATTCCACCCCGCCTGCCGAGAGGAGTGAAAGACGAGGATGTCCATCACATAATCCAAATGGCCCTGAATGATGGTGCGGTTTTGGCCACTGGTTTTGTTGGCACGTTCAATGCTGCGTCGGCTCCAGTCCGTCCAGTAGATGTAATCTTGGTACTGAGTTAAGCCAAAAGGATGAGGCAAGTCATCTGCTATAACTTCACGGTTGAGTCCTATTTTCAGAAAGGCAGTAGAAGGGGAAAAGCAGAGGGATGAAATATGTGAGACTATGAGTCTTGCTGCCCCCTCCCCCAAATTGTAACATATAAAACAAACATTTGTAAGCAATTTAAAATTGAACAATTCATTTAAACGCAATTCTAAAACCAGACCAGTCCTGTGAAATCAATCCATCTGCAGCCTGACCCCATGCCTCAAGCTTATATTCTTGCTATAAATCTCTGAGTTTGTTTAAACTTCTGCAAATGGTCTCTTTTGATTGTGGTCTTATTTTCCCTCCATAAGGATCTATAGCTCAATTTTTCTTCTTCCTTCCATAACAAGATGGAAATGCATATATTTTATTGTACTGATACAAAAAGTCACTGCAGGAATATCTAGGGAGTTATAAATTCCATTACAAGTACAACAATAATGAAATTTCCACATAATAAAGAGATATGAGTCCAAGTGCCTAGCCCACTATTAGTAACAATAAACAGAATACAATGCCAAACAGAGGTAGAATCCAGACATTCATGAGAAGTTTTATTTATAGAATCTACCTAACAGTAATAGCAATCTTTCTGATTTTTGCATAGAAGAACAATATACTACTATCTGTGAATAAAAAGTAGAACCTACCTAGCATATTTGAAGATTCTATTAAGTTGGTGTCCAGGTCTGTCCAGTAGAGTCTCCTTTTAGCATAATCGATTGTTAGGCCATTTGCACGCCCCACATTTGGAACCAATGTAGTACGTTCACTTCCATCCATGGCAGCTCTGTCTATCTTAGGTTTTCCACCCCATTCAGTCCAATACATGAATCTAAATTCAAAAAGTAGACATTTAACATTTCGCTTTTGATTATTGGGGAGAAAGGGCCATATTCAGGCATAGTTAATTAAATAACTTTAAAGAAAATATATATTAAATCAAGGAAATTGGTAAAACAAAATCATAGCTATAATTTTTCAATTATTTTGGCACCCTCAACTAAATATATTTTCTTATATCCTAAAAAGGAAGTGAGTCAGCTTTCCTTAGTTTTTCCAATGAATCTGTTCCATCCAAAACCTAGGAATTGGAAACAAACCAATGAGTTCCTTATTGCAACACTTGCATTTATAAAACTAATATTCAAGACACTGGGAAAGGATTAAAGCTCTGGTATCTGAATCTGGTTCATTTCTGAACAAAATATCTTTATGTATTTCTAAATACAAGTAATTTGTGATTTTAAATTTTTAAACTTACTTGTCAACTTGTATAATCAACTCTCCCTAAAATCAAGCTGCAGGAGTGTACATCAAAAGTATAAGTTAACAGCCTTTAACTGGTGAAAAAGCAAAGTTTGAAAATACTTACATATTTGGTTAACATGGTCCCAGGGAACAGACTATATGTATAGGAGCAATGACACCCCTTACTGGGTCATCTGGGCAGTGAATGCTACTCCTGTCATCACTGTGAAATTTTAAAATATTCCTCTACTTTTATTTTACTTGGTCAAGTTTTTTACATTACCCTTGGAGAGGCCCTACAGTCCTACAGGCTTTTTACTTAGGAGGAGGCCAAAACACTAAAAGAAATAAATGATTTGTCTAATGTCTTCAAGCCAGTTACACGACAGAACTAGAACTAGATCCTATTCCTTAGCCAACTGCCCTTTCAGCTAAAACTAGTAAGATGCTAGTTTCAAAACACTCTAAATATTAGGCCTAGGAAAGCACTCCACATGCCAGCTCTCATCAAATACCTGAGGACAGACATTCACTCGTCAGCCTGTCAGCTGATGACTGACTTGGTAGCAATGCTTTTCTGAAAAGTTGGTCTTGGGCTTTGTTTGCATCTGTACTTGTCAGCTGACAGGCACGCGCACACCACAAGAGCCAAAGAGAAACAACTGTGAGAGAAATCTCACAGTTGCCAGCAGCCACATAAACTAGAGTTCTTGGTCCCAACTACTAAATTTATCTGTCTGGTAACTGAAGCTCAAAGTAAAAGATCACCATAATCCAACCACAACATGTCAGCACAGAGCTGCCTTTGGTATGGCCTTCTAATTAAGTGGCTAACTAGCTAATTGTGGAATTAAAGTGACTTCAGAAATACTATTTTAAATAATAAATATGGTAAAATATGCCTGTATGTTTACACTGTTAACTTCTGCTTTTATTTTTTTCTGATATATCTCCTCAAGCAAAGAAAACAAAACAAACAAAAAAAACAAATGGGACTACATCAAACAAAAGGTTTTGCACAGCAAAGGAAACCATCAACAAAATGAAAAGACAACTCACAGAATGGGAGAACATGATTGCCAATATATCTGATAAGGGGTTAATATCCAAAATTTATAAAAAACTTATAAAACAACAAGTATTGGAGAGGATGTGTAGAAAGGGGAACCCTCGTGCACTGTTAGTGAGAATGCAGACTGGTGTAGCCACTATGGAAAGCGGTATGGAGTTCCCTCAAAAGTTAAAAATGGGCCTGGCTGGTGTAGCTCAGCGGATTGAGCGCGAACCCGAGAACCAAAGGGTCGTGGTTCAAATCCCAGTTAGGGCACAACCCTGAGCTGCAGGCCAGGTCCCCAGCAAGGGGTACGTGAGAGGCAACCATACATTGATGTTTCTCTCCCCCTCTTTCTCCTTTCCTTCCCCTCTAAAAATAAATACAATCTTTAAAAAAATTAAAAATGGAAGCGCCTTATGATCCAGTGATTCCACTTCTGGGAATTTATCTGAAGAGACCAAAAGCATTAATTCATGAGAATATACGCACCCATATGTTCACTGTAGCATTTTTGCAATAGCCAAGATTTGGAAGCAGCCTATGTGTCCATCAACAGATGAGTAGATAAAACAGCTATGGTATATTTACACAAAGGAATACTACTCAGCCATAAAAAAAGAAAATTTTCTTTTATGACAGCATGCATGGACCTGGAGAACATTATGCTAAGCGAAATAAACCAGTCAGAGAAAGACAAATACCATATGATTTCACTCATATGCGGAATCTAATGAACAAACTCAACTTCAAGCAAAACAGAGACAGACTCATAAACAGAGAGCAGGTTGACAGCTCTGGGTAATTGGGGAGTGGGGGGATCAAGCAAAAAAGAGAAAGAACTCATGAACAACAGTATGATTATGGGGGAAGGTGGGTGGGTGGAGGTGGAAGAGGGTATAAGGGAGATAAATGGTGATAAAAAACACAACAAAATAAAATTTAAAAATATTTGCATCAAGAGACATTAAAACATGGAATTATTCTTCAGACTTCAGATCTCTTAGCTAATGGCTTTTTAAAATTTTCTAAATCATGCAGAAAAATCATCTACTCTCAGAAAATGTCACTTTGTAAATAGTTTACTGTTTATCAAAAACAGTTAACTGTTTAATACCAAAGTGTCTCCAAGCTTATAATAATGACTAAAATAGCTATCCTCCTGAATTAATGAGTATTATAAAGTGGAGCTTTTTTAATTGCAGTTATTTCTTTGCACATATTATTTCAGAGGATTCACTTTAATAGGTTGCAATCAGTATAACTTAGGAGAGACTACAAGCAAATGTAGACTTGATGATACCTTTAAAAAGCCTGTTTACTTAGTATACAAACACGACCAACAATATTTAATTATTAATCCATTTTACTAATCTTTTTTCACCCAATGTTCATAGTGACAAAAGTAAAATTCAGCTAATAATTAATTCTAAATCAGTGAAATGTTAGCTAACGATTTTAAAATAAAGCCTATTTATAGTTTAGTTGTCTGAGTCCTAATAAAAATTAAGACATTAAAAATATAACCCATACTAGGCCATGCACAATGTAGTTGCAAAGAATGCATACATAAAGCTGTTTACCCTTCAGCAGGGTCCAACGCAAGAGCTCTGGGACTGTCTAGGTCTTTCCACACCAAAACTTGTCGGTGCTGTCCATCCAACTTTGACGCCTCAATTCGGTTTGTTCCTGTGTCTGCCCAGTACAAGTTCTTTCCAAGCCAGTCTACCGCCATGCCTTCTGGATAATCTAAGCCGAATTCTACCACATGTTCCAGTGCACTGCCATTCATAAAGGCTCTGCTGATGGTCTGCAAAAGTAAGATTAACAACAAAGTTAAATGGCTTAACTACAAAACACTACTGAGAAGATATTTGGTTTAGGTTTTGTTGGGTGGGAGGATCCAGAAGAGGCAGATGCATAGTTTCTTAAAACAACTCATATATTTTATGAGTACAGGGGGAAAAATGATATCAAACTAATAAATGCAACTGTGACCTCAAGTTTTATTGCCAATTCAGGGAGAAATTTTTGAGATTCTTAAGGACCAAAAATTACTCAGATAAGACAGTAGAATGACTTTCTTTTTAAACTTTATTAGTAATCAAGTGAGAGAGATGTGACCAGAATATTGTAGACTCTTAACTGGTAGGTAGCTTTCTGATGGTACTTGAGAGTATGCCATGTTATTGTGTCAATTTGAGATCTCAACAAGTTTATACCTTACATAAAATGCATAATGCCATACTCATATTATCCCTACTGTAGCTCTGAGCTCTCTAAAATTTGAAACAATCATAATTCAAGCTGTTAATAACAGCTGCTACTTCCTGTCAAGCACTATCCTAAGTATTTTGTGTACACATATTTTCTCACTTAATCCTCACAATAGCCCTGCAAAATAGAGATCATCTCTATTTTCAAGATGTGGAAAGTTAGAAGGCCAAAGTAAAAGCCAAGATTTATTTATTTACTCCATTTACTCACTCAACAGATTTTACTGAACATTATCAGAATCCTACTCTGGCTCCAATGCCCCATGATTTTTGCACGTTAAACAAAACTTTATACAAGTTATATGAAACAAGCCCAAAACAATCTGGAAGAAGAAAACATTATTCTCCAGATTTTCTGAGAACTCCTTTTTGATTCAGTATGCTTTTCAGTATTTATTCTAGGAAAAAGAAAATAAAGTTGGGCTGTAACTCATAACTGGCATTTTCTACCTCATTCAGGCTCCAAAATTTTGTTGAAAGAAAAATTAAGAGTCAAGTCTTTGTAAGCCATTTGTGTGAAATATACAACTGCTTACTCTTTAATTGCGGAAAATGTCATTTGTTACCTTCAAATGGAACAAAGTAAAGGAAGACTATGTTTTATAGATTTAGACATTCAAGCAAAGTACCTTGTATTAAAAGGCACTTAATTAAATAATGAACGGGATTTTCCCTTGATTTCCTTTAAAAAATTTAAGTTCTTTGTTGAACATTGCCTATTAAGCAATGAAGGAGGTTGACCTAGAAGCTCTCCTTTTTACTCCCCAGTTTTAATACTTCAAATCTTTTGCCAACCTTGAGTGATATATCAGTCCAGTAAATTCGGTTGTCTGTCACATCAAAATCCAAAGCAGAAGCTTCTTTGACACCAGTGAGCGGAATGGCCACATTATTATTGTTAGTTTCCAAAGAAATTCGCCGGATATCCGCTCTCCGAGAAAACAAAAGGAAAGCCTCTGGGACAATGCAAGTCTTCATGTCACTGATGAGTTCAAAGCCAATGGGACAGGCACAGCGAAGGCCCTGAGGTCTATAGAGGCAAAGATGGCTACATCCCCCATTTTCCTCAGCACAGGGGTTGGAACCTAAAAGATAATTATGAAAGGGCACAGAAGGACACACAGTGACATCATCAACACATTTTTACTTTAGAATTACTAAGCATTTGGTTCACAGAGACCTATGATTGCATCTGCTCTCAAACCCAGAGGTTCCATTCTAATCCCATAAACAAGCACTAAGAGCACTGATACAAGGCCGGCAGCTATGGCTCCAGCTACCGGGTAGACCCAGCCGGAGAAGTGCTCGAGACCAGGAGTTTCTGAGCTGTAGTATGCACGCTATGCCGACTGGGTGTCTGCACTAAATTGGCATCAATATCGTGACCTTCCAGGGTGAGGGCCTAAAAAGAGGGGTGAACTGGACAAGGCTGGAAATGGAGCAGTTCAAAACTCCCTTGCTGATCAACTAGGAATTAAAGTACGGCAAAATATTTTCCTTTGTATCCACAGTAAGCTTTAAAATAAACTATGTTATTCATACAATAGGATTGAATTCTTTTGATGAAGGGGGTATGTGTGTGTGTGTGTTTCCCTTCAATACAAACTATGCAGACAGAGTAGAAAAGCAACATTTAAAAGACTCATTTCTGACTTGAAAAATAAAAAAGGAGTTAAAAGATTAATTTTATACTCCCTCAAAACATCAACAATTTACCATGCTGCTTTATAAAATTCTGCCTATCTCCATCTTGGCTCATTCATGGCTTCTACCTCTAAGAGAATTTTGGAATTACTTACCAATGATTCGATGAACATTTGTGGCCTTCAGGCCCATGAGGTCAGGGAGCTGATCTATGATGATCTCCCTCTCTGCACTCCGTTTGTGCACTCTTTCGATGCTCCGCCTCTGCCAGTCAGTCCAGTAAACATAGTCACCCAACAAAGTGAACCCAAATATGTGTGGAATTTTGTCTTCCACTAGCACTCGTCTTCCAGTGCCATCAGTATTCATAACCTTCATGTTTAAGTTTAAAGAGAAAAAAATGTATATTTATTCTTCAAATGTATGTGAAAATGACAAATGCAACTTGCCAGTGACATCAAAATCCAAAAGTATTTATCCCTATCACAATGCTTTCACAAAATGACAAAAAGCTGATTTAATGAGGATGATATCAAAGTCAATATAAGCTCATATTTTACCTCTATTTCTCCAATCTCTTAATTTGGCAATATTAGCTTTAGTATGCATGCATCTCTTCTACTAAATGACTATGTAAAAATTAAATATACAATATCATCACCTTAAGTTTGCTTGTACATTTGTTTTCAAATTATAATGTACCTTCACATGCATTATTTCATTGCATATTTGCTTTATAACACATTTTATCCTGAGAGTTTTGCCTTTTTTACATCTAAGGAAACAGATTCATATAAGGTCACACAGCTTGTAAACAGAGTTGGAGTTGAAGTATTTTTTAGGAGTCTTTCACTTAGTATATTTTTTATTTCATTGTTTCTACTTGAAATTAACATCATTAAACTCATTCTGACAGTCTCATGAATATTAGCAATTTCCCTAGAAGTAACCAAAGTGTCTCTGACATTATAGCAGCATCTTCTGTTCTAAACGATGGAGTCTTTTAAAGCACAAACTTGGAAGTCCCTAATTGAGACCATTTCTACTTTTTAAGGTGACCTTGTGCCAGGCAAATTAGCCTTCAGAAATGTTATTCTGGTACTAAAAACATGGACATATAATCAATATCTGCCCCCTAACCCATCTACAAAAAAATATCAAATACAGTCTTATGTGCAAGTGTTAATTTTTTATCCATATAATTAGTAAGAAATATTCCATGTAAGCCAACACTGTGATTGCCTAAATGGAATGACAACCAGATGTTCTTCATCTATCCTCTCTAAAAGTTTAAAAAAACCTAATGATATTCCAAGAACATCCAAACCTCAGAAAAAGACAAAATACTTAAAAATTGAGCAAGGAAAACTATACCATATTCTAGTAGTTTCACTTGCAAATATCAATAAATATCTGATTTATAGCTGATGAAAGAGAAATTTATATTAACTGAATGTTTATCTGTTCATATCAGATACAACAGAACTTCTATTAAGCCAACTGGCTAAATCTATATTTAAATAAATTTTTTAAAAGTCAGAAACATATGCCCTGGCTAGTGTGGCTCAATGGACTGAGTGCCAGCCTGTGAACCAAAGGATCACTAGTTGGATTCCCAATCAGAGCACAAGCCTGGGTTGCAGACCAGGTCCCCAGTAGAAGGGGCTCGCAAGAGGAAACCACACATTGAAGTTTTTCTCCATCTCTTTCTTCCTCCCTTCCCCTCTCTCTAAAAATAAAAAAATAAAATCTTTTAAAATTCTTTAAAAAACAGTTATAAACATAGTTAAAATCCAACTCCTATATTAAATACTGTTTCAAGTTAATAATTTCTCTTTGATCCATGAGCTTATGTTTTTTATATTTATATTTTCTTGTTATAGATCATTCCTGGACATATTTTATGATGTCTATGCTTTATCTTTTTTTTTTAAAGATCTTATTTATTTATTTTTAGAGAGAGGAAAAGGGAGGGAGAAAGAGAGGAAGAGAAACATCAATTGGTTGCCTCACGTATGTCCCCAACTGCGGACCTGGCCTGCCACCCAGGCATGTGCCCTGATGGGAAATCGATCCCATGACCTTTCAGTTTGTGGGGAAACAACCAACCAACTGAGCCACACTAGTGAGGGCTGTCTGTGCTATATCTTAAAATTAATTTGGTGTTTAAGAGTAAAAGGAGTAAGCAGAGAAAAGGGCAGATTACATATCTAAAAAATGTGAACTCTAGAATAGCAGGAACCTTAATTCAACCATTCATCTGCCTTCCACAGCTATTAAAGAGCCTGGCAAGGAACTCAATAAATATTTGTTAAATAATTTTTAAAAGGAGACAGGTTTCCTAAGACACTCAAGGAACATTCCTAAGAATGGAAATGAAAATTTCTATTAACAGTTCTTATCCTCAGATCCTAGAGCTCAACCATTTGAATGAATGAAAGGAATTCTTGCCCAAATTTTAAATCCATGTAAAGTGCATTCTGCTGCCTACTTTTGGAGAAGGGATGTATTCCTGCTCCCTTGTAATGGCAGTGCTCTGAGAAAGAATTTCTGGTCCCATTCTATTACTGCCTGAAAACTGATCAGGGTGAAAATCATTCCTTCATTAGACATATAATCCAGAAATGTCTATTTTAGTAGAGAAAGCTTATTTTGAAAACTCTACACTTTTCCCTCTCTGTCCTAATAGGGAGATTATCTCTTGACTCTAGTATCTTCCTCTACCCCCTTTACAAGAACTTTTCTCCCAGTACTATTTCCTTCTTTTCAAGGATCTTCAATTTTTCCTTCTCCATACGGCCCTTCTTTTCTGCCTTTAACACAACGCAATTCCCCCCATTTTATAGACACTGTTTAAAAGTTGAATGATCCTGTTTTAATGGCCACATTCTTTGTATATGAAAGATACAAAGCGATCTTTGGCGATCTTTGAATATGATCGCCAACAGCTGCTTCTAGCTTTCATCATTTGTTCCCTTACCTGCCTACAAATGGCTTCCAATCTATGCCTCAGGTTACGTGACTACTGAAAACAGCCAATGACTAGTTTCTTGCTTTTCTCAGTTCTTGAGCTCTTTCGCCACTTTTTAACATTGGACCATCTTAACCACCCACTAAAACTCTACACTGGGTTCGTGGCACAGTATCTTATTTCTTTTTCTATAGCCAGGAGTGCTTTTTATCTCTCCATTTCACTGGTTCCTTCTTCCTTTTTCAAATACGGGTGGGTATTTCCCAAGATTTCTTGAGTTCTTCTCTGTCTGTAAACACCTTTCAAAAAGCTCATCAAGGCTTATGGCTTCTGTTATCATCTTACATAGAAAAATTACAAATATGTAAAGTTGTATTCTAAGGTCTCACATCAGTTTCTATTGCAGAATTCCCTTCTCCCAGAAAACACACTGCTACCTCATCTAAAATACCACATACTTGACAGTGAACCTATGTTCTCCATTAGGTGGAGTTCATCATCCTATCAGAGGCACATCAAATGCCAAGTGCTTAATATTCCATATTATAAAGCTTTAAAACACTACTTCCTTACAAGCTTATGGTATTTAAACATTATCTGATTTAATTTTATTCTTAGTTTCATTCAGCATTATCTTAAATCAATTAATATGCATTACTTTATACTTAATAAATACTAATTTTTCTGATTATGTCTAAATATTCGCCTTTCTATTAAAATTTGCCAATCTAAATGTCTAATACTGAATTAGATGCCTAATAATGAGCTTCTTTGTAAGAATAAAATTTAAACTCCAACTTCAAAAATGTTACAGGATCAACCAACTCTTCTCTTTTAGCTATGTCGTCCTGCAACATTTTTGTTGGCTCATTTTGATAAATGAACAACTTAAATATAAGACAGCTGATTAAGTATGACTTTGGATAATGAACAAAAAAAGAAACTGAAAATCACAGTGAGAAAAATAACAAAAGCACAACTCCAAAAGATTCTTTTAGTTTACATAATTAAGCATCTTCTATTTAGCAGTTACTCTTCATTCTTCTGCTGTAAAAAAATAATCTCATGATTAGCAAACAATATTCTGGCAGAATCAGATTTGGATTTCAAATATAAGCTCTATCCCTCACCGGCAGCTTCTCACATGCAAATTAGAACTGACTTAAAAATTAAAGATCTCTGCTGTGAATATAGCACAGTATCGGATGTGTTGCTGGTTCTTGACTTTTGAAATTATTTTAGTGAAATGCTTTAGTCCTTAAAAGTAAAAAGCTATACTCAAATAGCTATAATTAATTTATAAAATATAGTTCTTCAAAGTAAACATGAATACACAAATATAAAAGAATATGTGAAAATAAAAAAAGAGTAACTACACACTGTTAAACTGAAGAATAAAAGCAATACAGACCTTTCCATAGTTTGGCAACTAGTGGAAAACTACAGGGCCTTGTTCTCATTTCAAACATCTATTTTTATTGTTTGCTTACACTACTCAGGTGTACAGTAACTAAAACAATAAGCAAAAAGGAGCAGTTTGACAATTGATCAGAGCATAACTTTGCTACTCTGCCAGACCCTCTTTCCACTCCCCACCAAAATCAAACACAAACATACCTAGTAAGTGCAAACCACCATGGAAGACATTATGGTGAATGCTAAGAAATTTGTAACAGGACCTCTTCTGGCTTACGAATTACGATCTAGAGGTAAATTATACCCTTCTCTAGCCTATAGCTTACCAGGAAAATCTTCAGGAAATAGCAGGAATTCAAATCCACCTTGAAGAATTAGGAGAATTTTGAGAAAGAAAAAGAGAAAAGGACTTTCTACAATAAGAGAAATTGCACATGTTAACACACAGAGTTAAGGACACTTTGAAAGAAACTCCCTGAGGCAAAAGAAAGAATACAAAAGGTACTTAAAGAAGACCGTGCCAGGCAGATACCACCCTATGGCAGGTATGAAATTTCAGGATAAGGAGCATTATAGAAAACAAAAACTTCTGAACGCATTTTAAGGAGCATGACATAACAAGGCTGTTTTCCAGGAAGACCTCATTTACCTCTGTCTCCATGTTCAGATCGTGTGCACTAGAAATTAACATCTTAAATACAGAATTATAGTAATTCCCACAAAATTACCTGTGAGATGATGGTAAGTCCAAAATCTCTTATCTAAGTCTCAGGGCCAGCTGTATTTCAGAATGTAGATTTTAAAAAATATATTTAGAAAGGTTAACAAAATGCTCACAGCATGTCACCTCCACCCGGGTCCAGGGCAGCACTTCACTGCCCGCATATAATTATTTCTACAAAGGGAGACAAATAATGACTACAAATGCTCTTACATTGCTTCAGGGCAGCATCACCACCAACCGAAGTAACAAAAATTATTTTTG